TTATCTTATTATTTTCAATAGCTTAGCTGTTAGGCGAACTAAATAATAAAACCCTTTTTTAATAAATATTCCACTTTTTACACCTGCAAAAACTAAGTTAAATAACAATTTAAATAACCGGTTAAGTAATTCGTACGAATTTAAAATCGTTTTTTAGTACAAACTTAACGTTTCAAGAACCAACTTTAAATATTTAATTAAGTAAAGAAGTTACGGTTACGATATTAACTGTTGAAAAATTAAACGTTAATTATAAAAGTCGCTACAACTTTTGAAAAATACTAACACCGTTGAAAAACAAGTTACCGTTTAAAAAGCTATATAAATAATGAATAAGCTCGTTTCGAATGTTTTTAAAAACCTTGTTAAAGCTAACACTAAGTCTAATACTCGCGCTATAAAAAACGCTGTTATTAAGAATTCTTGTAGCAAACCTTGTAAAAATATTACACCCGTCCCCGCTCTTACAGCTAATGTATATATATATATAAACTTTTGTATACGTTAATAAGTAAAGAAATTAGAATAAACATATTGAAAGTAACATGGGCTTTTTCTTAAAGCCGGCATTTTAATATAGGGTATTGAAAGATATGAATAAAGTCCCTATTATATTCAAGCAAATAGCATAGATAAGGGCTAATATAATTAAATAAGCGTTATATATACTTTAAGTGTATGCCACCGCAGCCCTTCTAGTTTAAAATCTTTAACCCGTACACACATATTCATATACACTTATAACCACACGCTTTAATTATATATAAATTATTGCCTTATTTAATCGTAGCTAAAGATGTTATTACATAAAATTTATAAAGGTTAAAATAAAGTATAAATTAAAATCGGGATGGTTTTTTATTCGTATTGCGTTAATAGTTTAAACAAAACGTATTACTATTCAAATAAGTAGCTTAAAGCTTTAACTAACCGTTGATTAAGTTTTATTTATTAAGTTGCTATATAACGCCCGATTACTATTACGTATGTACGAACTACTTGATAATTACATACTTTAAGCTATTATATTTAACATTTATTAACTTATAATAATATTGTTATATTACGTTTAATTTAATACGATTGTTGTTTTAACCGCTTTAAAATTTTATCAATATATAATTATCGTTATTTTTATCGGTTTAAAGGTTTTATTAGGTCGTAATAACGTTACGATAACGATAATAACGAAACTAAATTAAGCGCAATAATTCTTTTTAACTTAATTAAACCTAATAATCATCGTTATTGTCGCGTCAAATTTAACGTTATCGCCGTTGTTATACTATTCTTTTTATATAACGACGTATTAACTACGTACCGGTTATATAGCACCGTGAAGCGAGCAAGTATGAGGGCCAAATATGTTGTTGTGCGTGGGTTGGTTATCTAGCTAGCTAGGTGAGGGCTGCCACTATATATAGTGGCAGCCCCTCCTTATCTTATCTATCTAGCCGCTACATGATTGGCTAGGGCACCCACTTACAGTGGGTTCACCTAGAAACGTGTGTCACACCGTGTCGGGTTTTTAAATCTTATTTCAATAGTTATAAAAGCTTGTACATAATCATAATCATAAAAATAGGCGTTATAATGACCGAAAGATAGAAAAAGTCGAAATTATATTACTTTTGACGAAAAAGTAAAATCCTATAATCTTTAAGAAAAAGTATATTATTTATAAAAAGTTATAACTCTTTTTAAACTTTATATAAAAGGTAAAGCCTCGTACCTTACTTTTTTTAATCCAGCGTAATTTTTTTCAAATATGTAACACCTAATAACCTCTATTTTTATAAGAAAGAAAGTTACAACTTTTACTAGTTAAGCTTTAAGCTATTTAATTTATAATAAGTTATATTGAAATACATCTTTCGTCTTATGAAACCTTACTATATTCAAGTACTGTTCTATATTAACGGGTGCCCTCCGTTCATTAACGTTAATCCACTTAACTAGAAGATTTTCAAAAAGCTTAGCAATCCACTTAATGAGACCCCCGCGTTAACGTGGATTGAGTTGGTCGGGACCTTGGCAAGGTGCTATTGTGGATCCAGCTGATTCCAGCTGTCAGGTGTCTTGTCGGTTGGGCCGGATTGTTGCCCAAGGGACAAGGTACCGTTTGCACTGTATCTAGACTAAAGAGACCTTTCGGATGGGACAAGCTCCCATCCTTCTAGACAGCAAGCAGAACATCCAGAATACTAGTCATCGTAACATGGTATTCTGGGCCCCTGGCAGGAGGCACACTATTATAAGACATGTATTCTGAGTCTTGCATTACCCGCTGAGCCATCCCGTCGAGTTTCCGACTCTACGACCGGCTCTGGTAGACGTAGTACCCTAAACACCAAGACTTAGCTATGCCAAGGAGACGGATAGCATCGTGTCTAGATCGTAGCTTTGCGAGGTATCGTCGGTCCTGTGGAGTGATTTAGAAAGAAGACGATGAGGTGTGAAGATATTTCAGGGCGACTGAAGACTGCCTAGATGGTGTTGAGTGTGTTCAAATCAAAGCAAAAGGAGATGTAGAGAGCTTTCCCAAACACTATTTCAAGTTTGTCCGGTTTGGTTCCTTACATTCACCATCTCCGATACGGTCCGCAGACCGTGAATATTCTGTATCATGACACACGGAAGTACGAAGCTGAAACCCCTCCCTATCACAATCACTGTCCATCTACCTAAGACGATAGAGTACCCAGATGCCCATACGAATGGGTTCAAATTAGGGGTGAGTCATGCCCCTTGCTGGGACAGTATTGCCCATGCCGTTTCTCCCTTGGTCGACACAGTGTGTTTGACCAGTCTTGAGCTTGTATGCACTACTCTGTAAGAGAGCTTCCTCACACCGTTCTTAGCACAAGGCTGTTACGAACCAACAAATACCATGGCCTGTTGGAGGGCCAAGGGGAGTACACCAAGAACCAATGGAATCAGAAGCCAGGAACGGAACAATGGGTATTACGGATTACATAACAAAGGTCACGTGACGGATCACTGGATCACGAAGTGAGCCTTCGAGGATCACTGGATCAGGGAGTGAGCCAGTGAGCATCACTCTGGGACAAGGTGATCCTACTCCATCAGTGAGGGAGAGATTGGATAAATAAGGACAGACATTTCCAGCTAGATAGATAGACAGTCTCTAACGGCGGGGACCTAGATGTGGGACAGCCCCCCATGTGGGATAGTTTTCTCACCAAAACTCCAATATTGCGACATTTATAACTCAACCAATAGTGATGCCACAATATATTTGTTTAAACAGGAATATTCGTTAATTTTCTTTTTATATTTTAAGTCCAGTTACTCCTTGTACTTTGTTTTGATACTGGAGTTGCCATTACATAAAGTTTTGCCCCTACGAAATTTTACGTTTCGGGCTGCCGTAAGGCTGCCGCAAGGCTGGTTTTCCCGACCTTTTGGTGGGAGCCAGGCTCGGTTCAAGTTCAACACACCGCTACGTTCTTGGTACGGAAGCAGGACCTAACACTCCATATGATATCAAAACACCAAGAAAAGACGATTCTAATAATACTATTGTGATATTTACAGCTTCAGAATTAACAGAGATACATGTAAGTGAACATAGTGGGATTAGGTGTAAAATTTGTCCCACATTGGGGGCTGTCCCACATCTAGGTCCCCGCCGTTACCTCAGTGATCAATCTAAGCATCTTAGCCAACCCTAAGGTGGGAGAAATCTCCTGACGACTCGACTATACAGTGAACCCAGTTCAGACCAAGCCCCAGCATCTGAGTGTCTTCTAGTTGACAGAAGCCTCTATCGTCCTTTGTGTTGACTTACCTCAGAATATAAACCCTATAGAACCCTTTAGCCTTATAGGTTAGACGGCTCGTCACAAAGGCATCTTTCACGTGAATGCCCTTCACGAGTTTGTGTACTCAGCCGATGTTTTAATGAATCCGACCCCGCAGGTCCGCGAAGCAAACATTAAGACCTGCTCAGCGTTGCTTGGAAGATTGCTTCGCTTACCGGGTAGGAAGCAAGAGTGGTAATGCGAACTTTAGTATATATAATAACTTATCCCGTACTAGACAACCTTTCTTACATTGCAGTGCTTAATTATCACTAAGTTAACAGTAGTTACACTTAGCCCTTACAATTCTCCGTGTGCGTTATGTTAATAATATATTTTCAACCACTTATTAATATTTAAAGATATTAAAATAAGTATATAAAAATAAGCAGCTATACTTTAACACGCTATTTTAATGCTTAATTTATAATGCTTATTTCGATTTGATAATACACTGTTATTTATTAAACGGTTGGTATATAAAGAGTTATAAAGGTTTAATATATCTTTTTTAAATACGTGTTTAAAATTATCTTTTAACTTAATATCACGGCACTTAATTACCTAAAATAACTAACCATTATATGAATTAGTATATATAAAATTAATCAAATTATTAACAGTACAAAGTAAGCGACTACTTAGTTTAAAGTTTAATACACGCACTAACTTTTCAACTAGAGTGTAATAATAATAAAATCTTTTACATTCTTTACGTTATAGCGCTTATCGTACACTTACCTTTATAAGTCTCCTATCATGGTCTGGTATAGGTAGACCATGTGGTGAGTCCTGGAGCCCGGACATGAGTACATGTACCACCATTGAATGTCAAGCTGCCACGATTGATATTCGACATCCTTTTGGGAGGAACATCCATGGCATGGTGGTTATGGTGAGCGTTCCGTCACATCTCCGTACGCGTATATTAGCAAGATTTAAATAAACTAGTAAGATAATTAAAAATATTAAAATAAGCACCCTGGAACAAGCGTTAAAGATAGCTAATAAAGATCCAACTGCTTATTCTATTTGATGAATTTATTGTGGTTTGCTGGAAGGGTCGTATACGGAGACTTATAAGGGTTCAGTGTAGGGAGTTTATGAACCGTGCGCTATAAAACCAGCGTCTAGGTACAGGAAACCACCACACCATCACAACGACGACTCAGGCATTTAGGCACCAGGAGCCTTATAGACACTGAGCCTCGAACCAGCACCGCACCACTCCCTATGATCGCCCGGGCAAGTCATGCTGCAGTCCGTCTCGCTCGCCTTCGAAGCCCCGTTAACCAGCCCGTCGTTGTTGCAGTAGCACTCGGTCCCGTACTCGACGCCCATGTACTTGAAGCCCTTGCTGGCACAGTAGCTCCCGCACAGCTCGATAGTCATCTGCTTGTTGGTCGTCGAGTCGCTCTTGGTGGCGCTACTCAGGGCGCCCAGAGCCCGCCCATTGGTTCCTTCGGTGTAGCAGCCCAGGTACGCGTACTGTCTGCCGTTGACCGAGGCCACGTTGTGCGTGGGCGCGAACAGCGTGTTGTTCCAGATGGAAAGTTTCGACGAGCCACCGCACGTTTGTGTCGGGTCACCCTTACAAGCCATACTACACTGGCTCTCTGCAGAGACCGCCGAGGGTGACTTGATCGTGTTGCTGCAGTAACACTGCTGCGCGTACTCCACGCCAAATAGCGCGTAGTTTTTGCTCTGGCAAAAGGAGGCGCAGGAGTCGACGGACATGGTGTCGCTCGAGTAGGAAGCCTTGTCGAGTGTACGCCCGCTGATTTCGGTGTAGCAGCCAACGTAGCTGGCCGTTCCGTTGGCTACCGCAGGTACCGGCTTAGTGACTGGCGGAGGGGTCCCGGTCTGCGCCTGGGTGATGTTCCAGACGCTCATCTTCCCGCTCGAACCGCAGAGTTCTCGCGGGTCGCCCTTACAGATGGAATCACATCTAGTGACGTCCATGATCGTCGTGCCGGTGTTGGCATTGCTGCAGTAACACTCCTGAGAGTATTCGGTGCCTGCGATCGTGTATCCCTTGCTCTGGCAGAAGGCTACACAGACCTCGTTCGTCATGCCCACAGTGTCGACATTGGAGGCGCCCAAGAGCGCCCTGGAGTTGCCGCCGGGGTCGCTGAAGCAGCCCGCGTAGACCGCGCTGTTGTTGCTAATCCTCGTGGAGCCAACAACCAGAGGGGTAGCGGCCGTGAGTGAGGTGTCGTTCCACACGGTGAGGAAACTCGGGGCACCGCACCACTCTGTATTGTTGCCGGCACAGATCATCTTAGGGATGGTGCAGTTGGCCATAGCTGAAGGTGCAAGGCTATTTCCACAGTAGCATTCCTTCGAGTTCTCGAGTCCGGCAAAGGGGTAGCCATTGCTCTTGCACGATGTCGTACAGGCCTCGATGGTCATGTTGACCGAGCTGGATGAGGGCCCATTCAGTACCCTGGCACTGCTCGCTTCGTTTGCGCAGCCAGCAAACGCCCAGGAGCTCCCGCCGAGCTTCTGCCCAACGACAGGATCGAGCATGGCGGCCGGCCCTAGGTCTGGAATGTAGTTGAAACTGGGTGTCATATAGTCCGGGCAGGATTGCATGGCAGCACGCGCGGGGCCAGGGGTGACCGGATTGCAACCAGGCAACTGGCTGAGGGTGCCTTTAACTTGCTCGTTGACAATGGCCTGGCGTTCGGGACAGTTGACGCTGGCATAGGGGGTCTGCGACTTAGCCAGTGGTGGGCACTGGGAGATCACGCCGTTGAGGCTGTCGTTATTGACGCACTGCTCGATGGCATCCTGGAGGACGGTCTGATCCCAGCCGTTTATGAAGTCTCCGTGGAAGCCGAAACCTGTCGGATCTCCCTGTGCGAACACAAAACTCCCTCCGTCCTTCTTGATGTTGTTCACGTCATAGTACATCTCGAAAAACAGATGGATGAGCGGTATTGGGTGTGTTGGAGGGCAGACACCGTTGTCGATTTGGGACATGTATGCCACGTGCGATCCGTCGGCCTCGAAGTCTTGCCCGTTCCAACAAGACGGGAAGTGGATCTGAGCGCGCATGCCTTCGTCGCAGTCGGTCCGGAACATGTAGTTCTGTTCGGGCAAGCCGCCGGAGCTGTCGAGACAGGCGAAGGACACGCGATCCGAGACAAGGCGACCAGCGATGTTTTTGCTGGGGTCGTTGTATGTCATGGTCGTGGTGTCGTTGGAGCGAAGAGATGGGTCGCCGGAGACCATCTTGAATCCCGGGGGAAAGGGCTGGATGCCGGTCCGGTTCTCGCCGCGTCCAAGGTAGTAGACAACGGTCCCGCCGTTGGGGACTTCTTCAAAGGTGCCGTCGGCATGCTGGTAGTAGAGCTGGGGAGTCCAGTATAACGACCGGTCGGCCCCTATCTCGCAAGAAGTACACTCCGAGGCTTGGAGATTCTCGTAGGTTTCGGTCAGGTTGACGTTGCTTGCCCCTGAGAATTTGTGAACATGGGGGGAAATCTGGCCAGGGAATACAACCGGGTCCATGCGGCCGGTCTGGATGAGCCCGCATGTCATTCGCCAGAAGGCGTCGACGTTGAACGCGCATAGCGATGTGGTCAGGAGGCCCAGCGCCAAACGCTTGGAATTCATCATTGTTGATCGAAGGGTGTTCTTTAAATCACCAGTGTTTGGTGTATGATAATAATGGAGTGATCGTGCTAGGGAATGTCTTTTCAGAGGGAGGGGATTCGTTTTCTTAAGTATGCCATTCGAAATGTAGGGATTTCAATACAAACGGAATCGCATGTTAGTGAGACACAACAAGTTGGTGATGCCCTTCCCGCCGTTGCCGACCGCGAGGCAACCATTGTCTCATCAGATGGTTTCGCAGGAACCAAAGACATTTCCATGCCAACACCACGTACCTTCCCGCCACGCAGGAATGTCTTAATGTGAGCCTTCCCTCCCAGATCGTCGGTATGCAAGTGGCACGTGGTGACGATGCAAAGGCTAGACGCCGAGGCAGGACCGTTACCGCCCAACCGCCTTTTTGACGGACCCGGTCCAGCCGAGACATCTATGAAGTCAAGCGCCAAACGCAGCTTTGGCTCCTGCCAAATAATTCACGAATTAGTCATAAGTGTTATCTACGCCCGTAGAGGCGTGACGGCAAGCCGAGGCTAGACTTGTCGATTGTTCAACCAAGGCTGCGTCGTGTCGTACAAAAGACCCCCTTATTGAGGGACCCCCTTAGTGCGTTCCCACGACAGCGGAGCAGTAAGGTTCCGAAAGTTTATGTGAGAAATTAGACTACAATTATAACGGTTACGATGATAGTCTAGTGATAGAGGCGATTGGTCGGACTCTCGCGGCCGTTGTCGAGTGGTACGGAGGCCGAGATATCCGGCCTGAACCTCTGAAGCTGTGCGCCACCATCGATAGTTCGTAGAAGTGATGTCACGTTTGAGCGACAACTACTGAGACATCTTCAAGAACAGCACGTTACCACGTGAACCATTGTATCACCCACAGTCATGTACCATCAGTTCTAGATGAAGTCGATGATTTTGCGCGGCAAATTAACGTCAACCCTCCTTACCGAAGATGTAACGTTAGTCGGTCTGCTCGGCTAGGTTGCTCGCTCGTCAGCAGGCAAGCCACGCCAAGTCAGATTCAACCATCGCTCCGACGACATTTCCAGAGTGTGTATGTTCTTTTGAAAGAATGAATATGTTGAAGTCGGTGGTTGCCAAGTGGAGATTGGAGACGGAGATGGCGATGTCCGTGACAGGAGTTCGGCGAGACATCGCCTAGGGCGGCAAGACGTATGCTCGACTCGAAATATCTTCACGCAATAAACTGCTGAACGGGAGAACAACTTGCGGTTAGTAAGCCACGAATCACTAATATGCATCCATGTATGTTGTGCGAGTATACCCATCAATACTCTAAGTATTGAAGTGAGATGTAAAGTAGGTAGCTGGATCGAATGTGCAAACTGCGGTAACTATCAAAGACCAACAGACGTGTGACGAGTTGCCGTTGGACCTACTAAGAGTTAATTCTTCGCGTAATGTTGCCATGATCTGGCTCGAATGAGAGGAGATGCTGGGCTACATCATCCTTAACGTCTACTTGAGACACTGTTATGCCTAGGCCCTCCCATCCAGGGCCTCCCCATCCAACCTCAGTCCTCGTTGACGTATGCTTTCGGAATGACCGATCGCGCAAGCGCCTCCGCCTCCCTATTGTCTGCCTCTGAGACATGATACCACCAGGTCTCGACGTCATTGCGAGAAATCAAATCGTGCTTGTGGTCGTCCAATTCTGTGAAAAGCTTTGGGTTCTGTCGCACGGCCTGTGAGCCCCTTTTCATAGTCGCCGCACTGGCGAAGCGTGTGTCCCCGCACATCATGTTGACCATGTTCGTACTATCAGGCGCTAAAACGAGGCGAAAATATGCCTTGCTGAGTCTGACTCTCTTCCCATTGCCTAGCTTTCGGGATATAGGTTGACGAGATCGGGGAAAACAACCGTGTCGATGAGCTCCATCGCCTTCACGGCAGCGTGTAGGTGGACGCATTGTCGACCGTGGATACCACCCAAATCGACTATTAACTGGGCGTGATTGTACTTCGAGTGCGGCCCGAAAAATATGCCGACGCTGCATTTTCCGCTGCCAATGAACTCAGCACTGATTGATACTACAATTGATCGGGGATCAATGCCACTGATGTAGGAGGCTCCTGCCACCTTCGGCTCAGTTGTGAGTTCATTATCGCGAGCAGTATGAAACGGATGTGTGGAAGCTGCTCCCATACCATCATGGCCAACAAGCCATGTCAGTTCGCAGTCGGGGCAGTAGTGAGTTTCGAGTGCGGAAAGAGGAGTTGGTAGCGGTATGACGGGTGACGATCGCGTGTCGAATGTGACACCAGATGTCTAATAGTCGAATTGAGGCAAGAAGCGGTATTGATGGTCACAGGCCTTCTGGAATGGCCAATCGTAGAGCACAGTTGCCACATTGTCGCTATCAATACCTGAATTAGTCATTAAAATGATAAATGGGTGAAGGCAGGCCTCACTTACGGATGGAATACGCTGAAGAACTTGCACTTCTCGCATAGCTCCTTAAGATGGGAACCACAGACTGGTTGACCATGCTGATTTTGAGCGACCACGAAGTCAGCTTCTCCAATCTTGGGCATTCTGAGGGGCCAGCAGCGGCGTCTCCTTCCCTGTAGTTGCAAATCTCGACGGATGATATCCCTTCCAATAGGAAGTCAGAAGAACGAAGTGAAAAAGTTGGCGGCTGGTAGACTTTACCTATGAAGATGGAGGAGATACTTCGATCTCAGCCGGGGTGCTCCGAGGGATGTTGAAGATAGAGTTGGAGAGATACCCGCGAGAGGAATGATGTTACTCCGTTGATAGTACCAGTCAAACCCCTACGTGTAAGGGTATCTCGGGTAGTTGGACTTTGGTCTCAATCATAGAAGAATGAGAAGGGTGAATGTTGCCAGGAAGCAGACAACCCGTTGCTGCAATGCGAGAGTGCGATGCGAGGGCGCCTACTGCAATCAATTCTCTGGTCCTGTTTGGCATGCGTACGGGTTGACAGCCCAGTCCCTTCTCTGAACTGTTGTAGTTACAATATCATTAAATGATTTGGACTCACAAGCTTTTTTTCATTATGGTCAGGAGGCAGACATACATCCCAGTAATACGCCGCGAGGGGGATGTGTCGGCAAGCGCTGACACAGCGATCTGGACGAAGAGCAGGTTGCTGGACTTCAACTCAGCGGGATCGGGTGTCGCCATCATCTGGGCAGCGCACAGTCATCGTGATTTCGCATGTCTGTGTTTAATCATCACCGAAAGGCTGTATGCCCGACAGTCGACAGAGTCATCCATGAGGGTTCAAAGTTTATAAAATCGCCGTATCCCACACTTCGTTCCTACTCTGCCACATGTCAAGCCGAGATCGTACACCGAGGCCACGAAACGTGAAGGTTCACTTCACATCGTTTCACTTCACTCGCCTCACCGGACATCAACCACCGACGACAAGTTCCAGTACACTGAACCATCACCACAACCATCAGCACAACCATCACCATAACCATCACCACAGCTGTCACCACAGCTGTCACGACAACTGTCACGACAACTATCACGACAACTATCACCCATCACCCGTCACCGTACGATAATTATTCACGATGTTTGACACGTTGCGCTCCGTCGTGTTCTCCACCGTGTTCTGGATCGACCTTGGGATCATCGGGACTGTCGTGTCTGCGATCCTGGGCATGCTTGCGGCTGGCTTGGTCATACTATACAATGAGCGCTACTGGGAAGAGCCAGTCGTTGGTGTCGCGGCGAGATGGAACATCTGCTACCTGATTATGTTTCTCATCTGGTGGCGAAACTACCCCCGGGTGGAGCTGGCTCTGTACCAAGTCATCTGGACGGCGTTTGCCCTCCTGGCATTCATGGTGGCTTGCAGACGAATAGGGATGTTCTTCTTGCTGTGATGGCCACCATCAGACCTACGGGTCGGGGGTACGGTGGTTGCTTGGTCTGGAATCGACATTAGACCTGGACGAGTATGACATCGAGGGCCGCGTTATCCTCCGAGTTAAAGCAGTTCTCCCGTGGTGCCGGCTTTTCGTGCTCGAGCGCGATCTTCCGGAGCGCAGTTGGTGGTCCGGCGTGTAGTGTTCGTGGATTGTGGACGTCTTGGCGGTCGAGATGCGGACGTATGGCGTTGGCTGGCCCCCGGTGTCGTACCGAGCAACTCAAACTTGGCGATCTCGTCCAGGTCGATCGGAAGCCTTCGACGGTCGTTTCGTGGTCGTTGAGGCCGAGGGGGCGTCTGTATCTCCTATCAATCTCTCTCTTCGCCTTGATTGCATTCCTCTGGTCCTTCTACAGACCCAAATATCTGCAGAGATTATGGCCATCCTTTACCAGGGCGACGAGGCAGCAGGCACGATGTTTTGCCTCTTGGAATGTGCCTTGGACTGACCAGAAGAGGCGCATACAGCGACGACGGGCCGGGGTCGGGGACGCGTCTGTCTTGACACATGGACTTGCTGGACTTTACTATATGTCTCGGAATGAACCATTCACCGCTGAGCCTGGAAAACGTGTGTCTCCCACGCTGAGTATAGACCTGATCTCTGTATGAGCGAGGCATATCAGAAGCTCTACGTTGTAGCAATCATGCATCAATCCGAATGCTGGAAAAACCTGATCGCTTGATGTTAGGCAAGCCAAGCTGAGTTGGTTCAATGCTGGAGCTTGTCTAGGTCCCTCTTAGATTCCTTCATGTACGTAGGGTAGTACTCGAGGTCAGTGGCAATCGGTTTGGGACTTCAGGGCAAGGTCCATAACCTGCCGGTCTCTGAGACGGACCCCTTCTTGAATCTTGTGGGCATGTGAGCTTCAGCTTCTAGCCACGACCTCGTTATGAGAAGTGAGTGGCTGGTGCATGTGGGGCCTCGCTTGAGTCTCCTGTGGCTTGCCTAGAGCGCCACAAGTATCCAATTGATTGCACACATCGACATCGGAAGGGCAAGCCCTAAATTCTGCCAAGATTTGCCGTGCAGGGACCACCCGCAGACGCTCCCCTCGTCTCTCTCTCAACACCACCAAATTCAGAAAATTCCCAACCCCGACCGACCTGATTTCGACGGCACCATCGCAACACCCGACTACACCCAACCACCTACCACCTACCACGAATCCCCTTCCCAGTCCACCAACCCGACAATACCGCAAAGATGACTGGCGGCGTCACCGTTCGCGATGTTGGTGAGTCCTCTCGACTGCCCTGACAACCTCGACGCCCGCCACCGCCGTTCTCTGGCCTGTACACCACCGCCGTCCGTGCCAATGCGCAGTGCACCATCATCAATACTCGACCAGCACTCGGGGCGCGGAAGCACGCGACGCGCACAACAAGCGGCAACACGGGAGCAGGCGCGAGGGGGTCGCAAGACTTCTGACGACGGAATAATGCTGATAACGTGGGGTAGATGCGCAGAAGTTCGTCAACGCCTACAGCGCTTTCCTCAAGCGTCAAGTTAGTAGTACCCTTCCATTCCAGTCCATGTTCAGTGTCTCATCTCTGAGTGCCATCATTCTACCTTATGGAATCTCCGGCAGCTACTGAAATTCCTCCTGGGCCCTCGACTAAATTTGCAATCATGACTGATTCTTCTTTCTCTACAGGGCAAGCTCCCAGTCCCCGGTTGGGTTGACACAGTGAAGTGCGCAACACTTGGAATGTCTCATGCTGTCGGCGAGGCGCTGACGTTTCTACCATAGGACCGGTCCTTCGCGCGAGATGCCGCCCCAGGTCAGTTCTCCAGCCTCTCCAACTCGCCACATTTGCCTCGTTCCTCTACTGACTCTTATGATCAGAACATCGACTGGTACTACGTGTATGTGAATCCGAGGCGCTCATTGTCTCCAGCTCTGCTCGCAAGATTCGCCTTCAGAGTTTATTTTTATAACAGCGAATACTGACTTGTTGCAAAGACGTGCTGCCGCAGTCGCGAGACACGTATACATGCGGAAGACAGTTGGTGTTGGCCGGCTCCGAAAGGTAATCACTTGCATACCTTGACACCCATATCCTCATACGTATGGTTACTAATACTTCTCAGGTCCACGGCAGTGCCAGAAACCGCGGTGTCGCCCCCTCCCACCACGTTGATGCCAGCGGCAGCGTCGACCGAAAGGTTATGCAATCCCTTGAGAAGATCGGTGTCTTGGAGCAGGACGAGGAGAAGGGTGGTCGCAGAATCACCCAGTCCGGCCAGCGTGATTTGGACCGTACGTTATCCTCTCGGCTTTTCTTGGTTTGTCGAAACCCATACTAACTGTCCTGCAGGAATCGCCCAGACTGTTGCCGAGGCCGAGGAGGAAGACGACGAGGATGACGAGTAAACTTGATACCACGCAGGATTATCTACTACGGATTCGGTAGCATAGGGCACGGCGTCTGAAAACGGTTGAATGAATTGACTGGCGATTCATCAAGATTTGCATTACCAATTCTCTAGTTCCGACTACGACTGTGGCTCTTGCCTGTAAATACTTAGGGATGTCACCCGTGGGACTGGCTACTCTGCAATGATGAGACACCTGGTGCAGCCTATATAAGGTAGCGATCATCTGGTACCGTGGTCATCCGGGGGTTTGTTTCTAATACATCCATCACTGGGAACATGGAGATGTATGTCGTTCCTGATCATTCATCGAAATTTCTCATCTAGTTTATCCGCCCTTCAAATGGAATATATGGTGATTCTTTGCAGGAGCCAACCATGGGCTAGATGGCCATGAGTTTTGGATGGGACGGAACAGGTAGCCCTGGAGGTCCACATAGGGGTTTTTAGGTGGGGCATCCGTGGCTTCTGCGGCCTGCCAGGACGGCATGCCATCGGACGGACGGCCCCGATACGGCGAACCCGAGCGACGATCTGCCGACACTTACCAACACCGGTATCCACTCAATACGAGAACGGGTCTTGTTCCTGGCTGATACTCCACCTCGACCTCGTATTGCTGAAGCTTCATGCTCGAACATCGTAGAAGCGGTAGAAGGCCTGCGGGAACTACTCGATATATATAGGACGGGAGCTTTCCTCGAGTCCTAATACGTCCACGTTCCCGAGACCTGACCATCCCCCCATTCTGAGCGACCTGTGACATCTCGCAGCTCCGTTCTTATCACCCGCGAACATGAAAGTCACTACAGCGGTCCTCGGCGCCCTCTCGGCTGCCTCCGTTATTATGGCTGGCCGTCACCAAAAGCGTGTAACAAGAGAACACAGCTCAAACTGGTCTGGCGCCGTAGTCACTGGGCAGAACATCACGGGCGTCTCTGCCACGTTCCCCGTTCTCGATGCCAACATCCCTAAGGTTAACGAGACTGGCAAGGATGCCTACCTTGCTACAGCCTGGGTCGGCATCGATGGGTACAATGCCACGGATGATTGTCCTGGTCTGTGGCAGGCTGGAGTCCAGAGTGAGAACCGCGACGGTGACGTGTCTTTCATGGTTTGGTATGTATATCAATAAGTGTACAGCCCAATGAAGTGCTGACGAATTTGATCAGGTACGAACTGTTCCCTCTATCTCCGGTATTCATCGATCTTGGCAACATGACAATAGGCGATGTAGGTCTTCCATTTCTTGCTCCCTCCTCTCCCTGCTCTATTCCATTTCTCTTATTTGTTCACACTAATGCTTCTTCTAGCTCATTTCAGTAGAGCTTAGCACTGATGACAGTGAAACCGAAGCCTCTGTCGTCATGAAGAACTTGAACACGGGTGCCGAGTACAAGAACTCAACCGCAATCACTCAGAAACTATGCTTTAAGGCTGCCGAATGGATCCTCGAGCGAACCTACACGCTCTCCGGGCTTGCTGGGCTTCTCGATTTCGGAACCGCAACATTCTTGAACCTTACTTACACCGAAGGTGGAAACGAGTTCGACACACTTCCCGACAGCGTCATCCTTACGGATATTTACGACGATGAGAAGAACGACGTCCGCCAAACTTACACCAACAACACCAAGGACACTGTCACTGTTAAGTACCTTGGTAGCTAAGTTGTCGAGTCTTTATAGACTTGGGGAGCACGGAGCAGGGAGTCGCATTGAGAGAAGGTATGGCTGAGGAAGGCGTAAGGCAGCCGCCAAGAGGAAGTGCGAAGCGGAAGCTCATTGCTGCAATGATTGCAAGAGTATTGGAAAAGGGGGGTGTGGCCGAAGAGGTACTCGATGGTCTCGATGCCGTAGAGCTGGGGTAGATTTTCCGGTCGGGTACAAAGGTACCGTACAGGATGATGTTTACAATGGATGATACCCCTATTCGTCACATCTCTCTCGTCTACCAGATTCCCAACCATTTCTTCAGCGGTCGTTTTTCTCTCTGTTCGAGTTGCACCTCTTCTGCAACAGGCGACGCCACATCCACGGCTAGCTCAGCCTCCCGTTTCTCTCCAAGTCTAATACCTGTTCCTAGTACTCCTTCACGCCCACGGTGATCTGATAACAGACCCGGGATCTTGCTGCTCTGGGGGTACTGAAGAAGTCGCACGGGCGAATCGTGACGAACTCCTTCACAATGGCTTTGAGAGGTTTATTTGGTTTCCATCCGAGTCGGGTCTTGAGAATCTGCCTGTTCTTACTCGAGAGGCGAGCGTACATCGATCATCCAAGATGATATATCCCTCGGCTCGCGCGGCAAGGTGTCCTTTGCCGAGCTCATTCAGCCGGCCGTACGCTCTGCATTCACAATAAAAGGGTTCCGAATATGCCCTTCTTTCCTTGGCCGTCAAGTCTAGCCCAAATCTCTTCCCAGTCCCACAGTACCACGGCGTAAACTTGGATGGTCATTAGCTGTAAGTAGCTGAGACGAGAAGGTCTTGCAGGGGGTTTTTCTTACAACTTTTAATGCGTATATGGGCCCGTTGATTGACACCTTCCACACGTTGGCATGCACACCACTACCAAGATGCTCGAGGAAGTCAATCCGCAAGGTGTCCGGGTCCCGGTCGATTGGGAGCGAGGCGAACGGCAGCAGCTTCGGCCCAGGAACTAGAGGGAGAGAAGTCATGGTCGGGTAACGTCACGCTGCAGGAGGCTTGGATGAGCTGGCGCCTTGGGGCTTGGGCACTTTTGACCTGCTCTGACAAAGAGAGCACACGGACCAGTCTAGACGGCTTTAGGTCACGGTTAAGAACAATTGACTTGTAGACTTCAAAGAACGCCTTTCGCAGTTCATTTATAGCTGCTTACTGAATAGAAGGTCAAGTAAAGAAGGGCAGGTTCTCCAACGTATTAACCGGCTGGGGGGCATTTAGACCCGAGCGGTTGCTTCGCAGGTAAGAAAGTATCGAGAAGGAAGCCGATCAAAAGAAGGAAAGCGTCAACCCTCGAAGGAAGGGTGCATACGACATAACCAGCGTTTAAATATAACGCATGAGTCGGTGTCATGCTCCGACGAGCACCTTCACCCGGACGTGTGAGTGAGATGCCAGTCCACCTGGCATCGCCATTGCCCAAGTAAAGAAGTGGACGTGAGAACGGGGAAGCAGCATCTTGACGCCTAAATCTTACCAGTAGATCCAACATTGTGGCAACAGGAATCATCCCGAGATAGAAGGGATCGATGGGCTGGAAAGCGGTGCGGCTTTTACAAAACGTGGCCATGAGATGCCGCCCGGTCATTTACCAACCCGGTTATCCAAGATGGGCCACGCCGACACAGGTACCAATTGTCCGGGCGGTAGTCACTTGATCGGACTTGGGCACGGCACTGGAGGGTACATGACAGTTTCGCTTAATCACAGGTGCAAATGTGGCCAACGTCAAGGATCCAAGGATCTTGGATAGTGTGTTGTACTTCTATCAGGTCGCGTTCTATCTACGTGAATGTGATTGATATCGAGCCGGGAACACGGCCGGGTCGGCCAGTCATTGGCCGAGTATCGAATCGGGCTGTGTGCGTGTGTAAAGGAAGGGTCATGGCAGGAACATTCATATGATACACCATGCATGCGCGTGGTCGTAGCCGAGATGTGGCTTTTCCGAATGCAACCAAAATCCAAACCAGGATGCCGAACCGTAAGACGTTGAGACAATGTGGAGAAGAACGACCCAGTCAGTCGGAGACCCGTTGAACGCCGTCTTTCTATGCAATGTGGGAGAGCAGGATGAGCGCGAGAGGCTTTTGGGCATCAATCATTATCATTAGGTAGACTGTATCCATTGGTCCTCTGTCCTTCCCTCGTCCAAGCAAGCGTCGCTTAAGCCCACTTGGCAAGCACTGCCATCAGACCAGAGCCGAGGGCAACACAACCGAGCGCGTAGAGTTGCACTTTCAGACCAGCATTGCGCATGTGCGAGTTGAACATGAACTCATGAGCAAGAAGCTCCACCAGGCCCGTGTAGATGAGGATTCCAGCGCTGATAGCGTCGAATATGCCATTGATCATCAAAGTTGTAGGACTTCCCGGCTGCAAGCTTGTGCGGACGCCCAAGCCGATGGAAATGGCAATCGGGGTACTGAGGGCATATCCCACCCCCAGCAGATACGGCATCCACTTCTTGGAGGCCGGCCACTGCGCGGTCGCTAGGCGAGAGCCGAGACCGAGACCTTCGAAGGTCTGGTGGAAGACGAGGACGATGTAGAGAACGGTGAACTCGTCGCCCGCGACGGCCAGCGTCAAACCGATGAAGATGCTGTGAAACACGACACCGAACTCGAGGATGAAGAGCGCCGTCATCTGCGCGGCAAAAGCGGCGTTGTCGTCGTCATCTTGGTGGTCGCGGTGGTGCCCCAGGTGGTCCTGACCACCCGGGGGATAGCTGACATCGTTGGGCAGACCCGGGGCGTGGAAGCCGGTGGCGGGATTGCTGGTGGTATCGCGGTCCTGGTCCTTCCGTGGGCTGCCAATCTCAATGTCATCGCTCGCATGATGACGGTGAGGCGACGGGCTGCTCGAGGCCAGAGAACCCTTCTTAAGGACATCCAGCGACGGATCCGACGCCTCGGCCTCTTCGTGGTTGTGGCCGAAGATATCGAAGCGGCTGGCCAGAAGCTCGATGGTGAACATGACGAAAATGGTCATTAGACAGATGCCAGCAGCCCAGTCATAGCTATTAATGGGGCCGTCCGGCAGACAGGGCGAGGTGAGGGCGGCGAATGCAGGGGAGAGAAGGTGCATGAATGCAGTCCCAATGATGACTCCGGAGCCAAAGTATTTGGCGATGAAAAACGCAGTGCCGTTGACGTTCATTTTGGCGCCCCGAGCCAAAATGATGGGCGCGACAGCACCGAGCAGGGAGCCGACCATGATAACGAAGATGGAGGAGATGCGCAAGCCCATGCGGCCGTCGTACTCGTTGCCGGTGTCGCATTGAACCGTAACATTGAAGCCCGCTTCGGCCTCGGCACCGTCGCCTTCTGCTTGCCGTAGCGTAAGTAGTGAGTCCATGGCTCTCGGTAGTAGCGACATGTTGCCGAGTGGTGTGGGAGATGATGAGGGTGGGTGGAGGCACTAGACTGTGTTGGACAATGGAGGTGGGGTGTGGAAAATGCGAAAGGCGCCAGGTGAGATGGATCGGAAGAGTGCCAGGTGCAGTGGCCTCGGCGACCAAAAAGTCTCACACGTATGTGATGTCGTCTCGGAGTGGCAGAGTGGACGGTGGTTCGAAGGCAAGAAGTCGTAGTGATTCGAGCTTCCTGTGTCCTGTCACAAGCGGTTGGCGAAACACAGATGCAAGACTCTCGGCGCTTGGAAGAAGTTAGCAGAGGATGCAGGTAGCAGGATATAAGTACTGGAAAGCACCAGGTTTCTCCAAAAGAAGTAGCCCAAGTACAGTTCAAGGTTGTTCAGCCGGGTGTCCAGCCGGGTGTCTTGCCATTTCCCTTTCTTTCTTGCTCTCAAGGAGTGGGCCAACAGGGACAATGTCCCCGTCCGACTTTGTCGACCGACGAATAATGGGTTTCATCAAAGGTCAAAGGAATCGGGTTAGGCGAGAGACCAGGCGGATTATTGGCATCAAAGAGGACCTTGATGGCTGAGTAGGAAAGCGATGCAGACAGATGCAGCCATCGAGTATGACATAGCAGGAATAGGAAGAGCCTGAGGGATGGGTTCTCACCTTTTGAGGGTGGGTTCTCAGCAACCCCAACCAACAGTAACGGAAGACAGGCAGCAGCCCAGCAACTTAGACAATGTCGTGTGTCTTGGTCTCTGCAAACAAGGGTCCCTCTCGTGCCTCTGCCTGTGTCTATGCCTATGCTTGTGCCTGGGTTGGCTCTGGAAGAGGCGCAGAGCAGGTGGTTTGGAGCTTGAACAAGAAAAGCTCTTTCTCAAACTCTGAACAGCCTTGGATGCAATCAGCCTCAAAGCTGACGGCGAAGGATGCCGGGTACGGACACAAAAGTCACAGGTTGTACAATTTGGATATGTCGTGGGTCGTTAAAAGGCTAACGGCAGCAGTACGAGTATGGTGACAACAATAAGGATGACAATGATAAAATGGCTCAGAAACGGAGGATATGACGAGCGGCGATGGAGGAGTCGAGTCCATAATCACATCGCACGGCAGAGATTAGGGTTAATAGGTAACGGAAGGTAAAGGTACATGTAGGTAGAAGCAGGGCGATGCGGACGTGGTGCCGGGAGACGTTGAAAGCCGGAATGGGAGTGGGAGTGGGAGTGGGAGACCGTACTGACCGTTGTGCGTGCAGTCGTTGGTGAGGACCCGGATGGCGAGCCCACTCAGCACAGCTGCGGTGTCTGCGGCACGCACCCACTTGTTGGAAAAATGACAATTTGACACCAACGGGATGGGGCCCTGGCCAAGTGGGGGTGTCAAGTGTGTTCCGTCATTGGGACACCCATGATCTATTTCTTTTATTTAGAATAGATGGTACAGTAATACCTGCCCCTCAGCCCCTCAGTCATATCAAGAGTCTCAGCTCCCGCCTTGGATGCAAGTCCGCTAGACACCTTTCTGTAAGTTTACACCAAACAATGATGGCTCAGGAGAGAGGATAAGGTATTGTCATGAGGGCGATTGGGGCTCAAGTCACCGTTGTGTTCTTTCTATGAGTACAGGTAGTACACCCCCACAAGTATCTTTGTGGAATGCCCGCCTTGTGATACGCCGCCACGCGCTCCTGCCGGCCCGCAGTTGACCGTATCCATGCTGACACACACTGATGCATGTACCTGACCATCAGGGTTCTCAGTGCCGAGAGTCAGCCAGTCAGCTAGCACATTTTAGTGCACCAGCCTCATGTTTATGGATGGCCCTACGTCCACGTTTTCTTCAGCCATCAAGGTCCTCACCCTCGTGATTTGGTCACACCGGGCCACGGCCTTGCAACACACCGACTGGTCAGTTCCACCTGTTATCACACCGTCATGCCCAGTCCACGTGAGAGGGTATCACAGCTTCAATGCTGGGCACGGCATCTGTTCTATTATTTGACAATGATGTTTGAGTTGGTTGTGTCGAGTCCTACATACACCCTTTGTCCTCCCACCTTGATGTCTGTCACAGAAGGTTCACCCCACACCGATATTTGAAGCTTGATTTACAGTCGATGCCGCTTTCCCGCTGCCACATGCACCGCTCCCAGAGATGTCATAGCTCCGAGTCAAGCGCCTATATATAGTGCGTTGCTTTAAACGCTAAGGGCTGCTGCTGATGATGCTGACAAAATGTTCCGACCTGGAGAGCTCGGTCTGTACTCTTCATCCTCTTGGCGCCTCCGTCAGGTCCCCTAACACTAATGAGCGTTACGAGTCTTCTAAATCCCGCATCCGACCCAATGGTCTGGTCCGGGCCTGCTGTTGGTGACTGGCGGTTGGTGCTTGGCGGTTGGCGTGTGGCGTGTCTTGGGAACAAAGGCTACCTAACAGATGACCATCAAGGTACTCAAAGTCCTTCATGTCTGCAAGCCCAGGGCCGGGCACCGCCTTCGATTCGGCTAGTTCCTGGCCGTCCTCCACCCAACATGGGATCGTTTCATAGACCATCGAGCTATCGAGCCTTGGGTGACATGGAGCTCGCGATATCTGTCACCGCTACTCGGGCGGACATGAATGTAATGCGGTACATTCCAGTGTCGGAAATGGATATCCATGCGTGCTTAAGGGGGCGGCATATTCCCCTGGTGAAATCATAAGTATGGCTCCTGCATCGGGTCGGGTCGAATCGAGTTGCTCGTTGACGCTGCCTAGTTCAGGTCGACAGGGAAGGGCGGCACCATATCCAAGTAGAGCGTCGTACATCTTCACGACGAGAACTGTACTTCAAGCCCGAGAGTCCGAAATGGTGAGTCGGGTCGTCGCAGGTCGATCCCACTACCCAGGCTGAACAGCAGAGACTTGACCCGCCCCTCCCACAAGAGGCCAACACGCCAATGTTGGTCCAGACGCGCTTTCAACACTCCTGCGTACTGGTCGCCGTCTTCACCACCGTCAGCGACCATGTCTGTAGCTGTGTCCGCGTTGGCCTCGTCCAAACTCCACTCCATCCTGGCCTGGAAGCTCCTCTCCTTCTTGGGCTCGGCCACCACTTTCGGGGATGGAAGTACACCAGGAGAGTCCAGCGTCGGCAGAGCGTCGTCAAGCCTCCATTCCATCTTGGCATCGAAGCTCCTCGCCGGTCGCCCACTCGGAGTCACGATTGGAGCCGCCTCTTGTACGCTTTCGATGCTCCATGCTCCTTTCTTCCTCCACAGCTCCATGCCTACCGCCCAGTCGCTTTCGTAGCTGTAGACGTTGAAGTCCATCTTGGTGGCTAGTGAGCAGTAGCTCCCAGCCATGACGGCATAGGTCCAGCTGATGTTGCCCATCAACGGGTTGATCGTCATCGTCGCCGTGAGTGGCGTTCCCTTATGCGTGGGCAGCGTCGCAAACCGCGCGCCAAGACTCATGCCTCCCGACTTGTTCAGCGTCCCGTAGTACAGCTCGGCGCCCGTGCTGAACCGTCCGTAGATGCGCTCCCGTTCGCCATTACCTGCTCCATTCCCATTCTCACCTGTCCCATTTGCGCCAGCACTCAGGTTCGCAACGTCGCCTCCGAAGTTGTACAGCCCGCGCACACCCATGAGACCTCCATCTGACGAGGCCAGACCCTCCAACCCGTACCTGCCCTCGTCGTATTGTATCATGCCCAGCACGGTGCCGCCATTTCTCAACGTCTGCTCCGACACGGCGCTCACCTGCATCTGCAGCTTGGGCGACAACCTCCGCACCACGAGCGCCTCGAGCATCGACATGGGCAGATACAGCCTCCCGCACGTCAGCACATCCCTCCCCTTACGGTTTGCGCCGATGCCGTTCCGTGCCGTCGAGCCAGCCCCGTCGCCGCCATCATGTACACTACCCGGCCTCGACAGCTCCAACAACGGCCGATAGCTCCTCAGCAGGTCAGGCAGGGGTATCCGTTCGCTGCGCGCGATGGTGTGGCCGTCGAGCGGCACGGTCGAGTACAGGTACGATATGGAGCCGTCGACAACGCCGACGGAACCGAGCTGGTAGGCGGTGGCGAAGTGCGGCGTCGCGAGCGAGGAGAGGGTCAGGCGCAGGCCCCGCGGGGTCTCAAAGCCCAGCAAGGCGTCGGAAGTCGCGTTGAGGGAGCTGTACGAGTTGTCACGGTTCCAGCCCGTTGCTGTGTAGAAGGCGGTCTGGATGTAGTCCATGAACTCGCGCATCTTCGGGGGCTAGCGGCGTGGCCCCTGCGTACCCAGGCGATGAGGGTTTCGGGTCAGGTAGATATTTACGGTGCGAGCTATCGTAGAGGCATTGGGTATCGGCTGTCGCTCTCGGATTGGGCGATACGGTCGGTATTTGGAGCTGATGCTACATGCACGTGAAGGTATCCATCGATGTAAATAGGCTAAGTAGGGAGATGGGGCCCAAGCTCGAAGACGAGCTGCCACCAAAGTCGCCCGGAAATTACCCGGGCCCAAGCCGTCACCATCATCGGCCTTCCAAACCCCAAGGAATACGGCGGAACAAGCAGAGAACAAGAAGTGATCCTCCAAACACCCTACTTGGCTTCAGTCATCATGATGAGTACTTTGTTAGGCAAAGAAGTGTTGTGCTGCTATTATGACCTCTTCCTTATCAGACTGGCAAATCGGTATCCCTACCTTCGCCACGCTACGATGCCCCAGCAGCACACGTACTAGAAGCGAATCCGGAAGCGAGTCCAAGTGGGAACGGCTCAAATCATCCTCCGTGGATGGCTTTCTTTCACGTCCCCGGCCCCGAACACCCACGCATGGCCCGTCACGGATACGTGTCTCGGCTTCGGGACAAATCAGCCCAGCGGGCAGCGGGATAAGCGTTTTGCGAGTAGACGCCTGCCTTGTCCGAGGCACTTCAGAATTCTGTCTCGCAATGCCTTGCTGGGTCGAAAATGGTCAGTACCTCCGCTGCGTTCTAGGGACGTGCTATGGCGGGTACGTGGTGTAAATGCTTCGTATCTTGCTGTGTTGTAGTTGGACAGTGCCCGGCGCAACTTTGGTTCCATCGTCGGATAGACCGCTCCGCTTGTGGCTCGTCAGTCGAGTGCGAATATGACCTCCAGCACGAATATATAAACCACCGCAGCGGTGGACTGCAAGCATCTGAGTTGCATCTTCACGAGCTCCCCAGCCTTTCAAGCCTTTCAAGCCTTTCAAGCCTTCCAGCCTTTCCAGCAACATTGATCAAGAATCTCTGACCACTTCTTCACTCCGGATATTCACTCTCTTATCACTATGGTGCAATCACAGGTATGGCTCATAACCGGCGCCTCACGGGGTCTGGGACTCGAGATCACCAAGGCTGCCCTCAAGGCGGGCCATACGGTCATCGCATGTTACCGCAGCAAATCCAACATTGGCTCTACCTTCTCTGAGATCGAGAGCCTCGGCGGAACCTGACTTCAGCTTGATGTGGCCGGCACCGACGTCGAGTCTCAAATTCGATCCGCCGTAACCAAGCACGGCAAGATTGACGTGCTGGTTAATAACGCCGCATACGCTGTTCTGGGCAGCATTGAGAACACGAGGCAAGTTAGAAGGTCTTCGCCAGTGGGAAGGCACTTTGGGCGACGCAGCAACTGACACTTTGTGACAGCATAGGCTTTGTCGATGCCATCTTCAAGACCAATGTCCTTGGCTGCCTACGAACTATCCAGGCAGTGCTGCCTTCAATGCGGCAACGTAAGGCGGGAACCATTGTGCACATCAGTAGCAGCGAGTTCGTCGGGCCAACGCCTGCTCTGGGTGTCTATTCGGCAACCAAATTCGCCATGGAGGGTTTGTCCTCCTCGAAGGTCATCAGGATTGCGGCTGGTGCTGACCAATGTATTGCGTATAGGTTTCATGGAGGTGCTGTAGGCAGAAGTCGCATCGTTCAACATCCGCACTCTAGTCATGGTACCGGGAGGCATACGCACAGGGTTTTCTGACCCATCTGGCACCGGCGTCGAGGTGCCCCTTGACGATGCATACAAGGGCACCGCTGTCGAGTGGGTGACGCAGGCCGCCAAGTCGCCGCAGTTCAACGCCGACTTTTCAGACCCGGTCGAGGTCGCGCAGCGTATTGTCGACGCGGTCGACGGCACGGGGATCATGAAGGGCAGGGAGTTGGGTCGCCGGGTGCCACTCGGGAAGGACACCGCCCAGCACGTGGAGAAGAGGGCCCAGGAGTATGCGGACATGGCAAAGAACCTGAAGGATATTGCCGAGAGCGTGTGAAGCTGCCGTTTTTTCCAAGTAGGTAGTCAGTCTCAGTGTGTTAGACATGTAACAATAGGTACGTAGTAGGATTTTATTGCAGGCGTATAACGAAACGATGCTCCATCCGGCACCTCGTCCAGATGATGAATTAACCTGGCCGATAGTCACGCGACCTGGCCTAACAGCTGACAATGGAGTCTTCTGGAAAACAAGAGGCGGCTAGGACTACAGTTCACCTACAGAGACCTCCCGGACATGCTCATGTCTCATCTGGTATCGCCCAGGCCGCATAGCCCGTCTATGAACCTCCCGGGCATGCCGTCCAGCAATCATCAACGGCGACCCCTTCTCCCTCACCGCCTGCGAGACAGCAAGTATATGGCTCCAATCGGCACTATCCTCGCCCAGACTCCAGGCCATGACGCCTCCGAGACCGAGCGGCGCCACGATCTCGACGAACTTGCGCTGCATCAGCTCGACCGTGTCCCACGTCCAGAACAGATTCGCCTCGGCATCCCAGTACCACATCCCGCCCTCCCGCTGGTCCAGCACGCCGCGCTCCATCGCCGTCTGGTACGATGTCTGGATATCCGCACCGCTGCACGTCCCGTAGCCGTTCTGGCACCCCGCGCCGCAGTGCGCGGTCGTAGCCCCGCAGTATCCGTACTGCGAGCAGCAGCCCTTGCCCGCCAGCCCGGCGCATGTGAAGAAGGTGCCCGTGCCGCAGCTCTCGTCCGTCGACGTCGTCAGGTTCCCCGGCACCGACACTTGGCGCTCGAACGTCACGGTCCCGGACGTGCCCGCGTCGCTGCCGTCGGCGTTCTCGGCCGGCACGATGGGACACCCCGTGCCCGTCGTACACGCCGACGCGTTGGCCGGCGTCTGGAAGTACTTGGCGTAGTACGCAAGGCCCAGGTTGATCTTGGACGCGTCGAGCCCGAGCGCCGTGTACCGCCTGACCGAGTCCAGCGAGCCCGACACGGAACTGTGGTGCTTTGTCACGACGTCGCGGCGGTTCATCAGGTCGTATGCCATCACATTGACCATGTCGACGCTGGCGAAGATCTGCGGCGCCTGCTCCGGCGTGTAGGCGATCATGTCGCGCTCGAGGCCGGGCACGGCGATGGACAGCGCGCGCGGCGCGATGGCGGCCTTGATCTCCTTCAGCAGCAGCGGGAACGTCGTGATCTCGGTCGTCTTGTCCGCGTTGGGCGTCTGTCGGTAGTCCTCGCCGTTGCCACCGGGGTACTCCCAGTCGACGTCCACGAAGTCGAAGCCGTGCTCCGCGGCCATGGACGCCACGTTGGCCGCGTAGGTGTGGCGCGTCTCGGCCGAGGCCGCACCCGCGCTGAAGCCTGCTGTGTCGCCCCAGCCGCCGATGGCGATGCCCACTTTTGCGCCGCTGTCGAAGTGCGCGCGCACCGAGGGGACGGGCATGAAGGGCGTGTAGGGCCCGGATGTGGTGGGCGCGAAGAGCGACGAGTTGGCGAAGGTCATGATCACGTGCGTTATGCCCGCTGTGATGTCCTTGCCCGGCACGATCGCCGTATGGTATCTGGCAAGTTTGGTCAGCCTCTGTGCCCGCGAGCTGATGAGGAGCTGGCTTACTGGTCAAAGTAGACGACATTGCGCATCTGCGTCGTGCTGATGGTACCGGCGGCGGTGAGTCCGGCCAAGAGGCCAATGAGTCCATGTGTGAGTCTCATGGTAAGTGACTGTAATAAGAACCAATGCTCAGGACGTGTAGCACACGGATTGTTATGTGAAGGAAAGGCTACGGTCAAGAATGCCGTGTCTTAGGGACTGCCTACGATGATCGTGATGGGGTGACACTCGGGTTCGATAACATTGTCTTTCGGTGACCCTGTATCTGTTATAAAGTTACCAGCCAAGGAATTCTTGGGATTGAATCCTGTTCCTAACCACGATCCTTTAAAGTCCCACTCGTATATCTGGGAGCCGTGGGAATGGCAACGTGCGAGTTGGATGGCCCGTCGACCAACCTCATGGCTGATCTGCGATTGTGCCGCCCCCTAATATAGTAATATGACATTGGAATCCCTCGCTGCCTGGCACAAGGAGCATACGGCACAAGCGGCGCAAGCGGTTGGGAAGTTGGTAACGCGGATTATAGTCAGGGGTGAGAATATTGCTATTTTAGTATTGGCGATTAGCTGACGAGCTGACCGTTATCTGCTGACGACTACTACCCCTGTTTCTCATTAAAAAATCCGGAAATTACCGATACCAATAAGCAATAATACCGTAACCAGAAGAATCATACGCTAATATTAAATATACTTATTAAAATTACTTATCCTTAAGCCTTAATTCATAAGTAATATCGTTAATCTTTGTTGCTATTTAAAGTTATTATGATCATATTTTAACTATATATATTACTATTAATCAACTTATTTAAATGATAACTATGAGATTCTAGAACGGTCACAAGCCTTGGGGGTGTGAGCGGTCGCTACAAATGTTGTTGTCATTCTCAAGTATGCTCAGCAAGGCTAATCTACAGCTAAATACCATACTGCCCCATGCCAGAGTGTATCCACTATTCCCTTGACAGCCCTCTAATGGGTACTGCACCTAAGGGCACCATATCTGCGATCTAACATCTGACAATAACGACGTTATATCTTTTATTGTTAACGTAAATTTTAACCCGTAAGTCGTTAAAATCATTGAAAAGATATATTATAAACATTTAAAAAAACTGCTGAAAAATATTACGAACGTATATATCTTTAAAGAAACTAAAAAAAGTTTTACATTCTAACTTTTAATATAATCCTTATATCGTAGCTTTTTATAAAGGCTAAAACAATAAAAATGACTCTTTTTAACAACTTTATAACTAAAAGTAAGTTGCTTTTACTTATATAAGAAGTTTTTAAATATAAAGTTAAAACCGAGCGGCGCTTCATTACTAATAAAAAGAGAAAAGCAATCATTATAATAAACGTAATAGCTTTTATAATAAAGATCGAAAAGAATAAACCCATTTTTTAAAAAGAATAAAAAAGAATAATATTATAATATAACTTACTATAAGTATACATAAACACCGTAGAAAAACTATGAAAGAATTAAAAGGTTTAAAGCTTTAACAACTTATTATAACTTCAAAACGTTGCTTTTAAATCGTTATATTAAAACGTACTTCGTAATACTTATAATTAAAAGCGCACAGAGCTTGTAAATTGCGATATTAACACTTTTAAAAACGTATATACGCTAAGCTAGATCGGTAATTATACGAAGCACGTGAAGTTTAATTATAAGTCAGTTAACTATATTTTAAACCCCTTAATAAACTTTTTAATAATTATATATCACTTTATTCGAATAATTACGTTTTAATTAAACTGTTAAACTTTATTTATATCGAGCTAACTAAAAAAGGTATAAAGGTTAAAAAAGCGCTGTTAATAAAGGACTTGCTAAACGTAATATATAAGTGTAAAACGAATTAATATAGTAAGTTTAAATACGGCGCTTATTATAAGTATTATTATTTTAATTTATACTTCGTCAAATAGTTTGCTTTTCCCATTTGTTTATTGTAAAGGAATCAATAGAAAGTCTTTTGCAAACTTTTTTAATAACAATTCGTGATATAAAATCAAATTCTGTTAAAATTTTAAAAGCGGTAAGATAATTGAATAATTTAACATCAGTATTACGAATAAATAGATTAGTATAAGGGTATTGCACCGGCATGTCAGGCTCACTGGTCACCGATCGGAGCCCTAAGACTCCATTATCACATCCCCTTAAAACGCCTAATTCCCACAAACATACCAGGATAGATTGAAGTATTCTCATACATCTACTTCTTGGAATCACCGCCATCACCTTGCTTCAGCATTCAGCTACTTTAACCCTTAGTAAGTTTTATAAAACGTGGAATATCAAAATGTTAAAAAGAAGTTACACGCTACGTATATTTACCGTTTAAAATATTAATACCGCCGGGGTTTTAAAGTCTTAAATTTATTATAAAAAGAATAACGGGGATTAAATAACGTGATGTTATTTAACCTGGCTGCTTTTTTTCCCGTGTTATTATAAATTTTCAGTTAAAATAGTTTAAACTCAATTTGGTTTTTTAAGGTACCGTTATATCAAGTAATAGTTTATGATAGCGAATATTGTTTTAACTTAATTATTAATAAGTAAGAAAAATAAGAAAAATAAAAATATTAAATTTTAAAATATTAAAGTTATAATAATAATTAAAGCTTTTTAAAACTGGTAGATTAATTATAAGACGTCTTATTTTATAATACCGCGTTATTAATCAAAAAGTTAAGTTTTATGAAGTACCCGAGTTTTTATTATTCAATATTTTCATTACTTAAGTTCGTTTTCTTCGCAGCGTTTATTAAAGTGGTAAATTGATAAGCTTATAAAGATATTTATATAACGAGTACTTAAAAGGTTGTTTCCGTTATTATCCAAAATTTCAAAATAATAACGTCGTATTAAATAACCTTAAAGCTGTGTTAATAAGCGTTATAACGAAATAATCTCTCATTTTAATAATCTTATTTACGCGGTTAATAAGATAAAAGATATATGTGACGTTCTGTATGTGTGACGTTCTGTATATATAAATAGGACATAGAAGCCCTTGTTTACTATGTACGTATAACTATCTCTGGCTGAAGAGGAAAAAGAAGATCGAGCGGCACAGCCAAATCTGGTGGGTAACTAGATAAATGTGTCCGTCTCACAATTCAGAGCCTTACTGGGTCTGCGACAACCAGTCATCTAGGAGGTCACGTGCTGTCACGTGATCCGAGGACCATCACCGATGGTGGCGACGTAGCAACCATCACAATATAAGTTAAACCGTGCTTACAATGTTAAATTTTTTAACGGCGTTTTTATAACGACGACCCTTATTAATAAGTATAAGAAAAAGGCAACCGACGTTAATATTAAGTCTTTTAAAGCTATAATATGCCTTTAAGACAATAAGTAGTTACTTGTTTTACCTTATTAACTTACCGATATTATTATGAACGTCATTACAATCTTTATTTTTTATAAAGTTAAATTTAAACAAAAAGTTATTATAACATAAGTTATTACGAATTGTAATTACGATTTTAAACCTTTTATAGTTTTAAAAGTAGAATAAAAACCCCCTTTTAACTATCGATATATTAAGAAAGCGTTAAAGAAATAAATAGCGCCTTTAAAACAAGTACTTTCTTACGCATAACGTTATTATCATAAAGATAAAATAGCGAGCTACGGTATTTAATCGATTAAAAAAGTATAAGCGTGTTTGATACAAGCTTAACGGCTTTAAAAGGGTATGTCTTTATTAAATAAGGTTAATAGAAGCTTATAAAAAGCTAGTAAGAGGTAATAAAGTAAGGTATTATAGTAAAAAGTAGGTAAAGACACATAAATACGAATCAATATTTTTAAGCTTAAAAGAGCTAATATACTCAGATTTATAATAAAAATCGAAAAAGCAATAATAATACTCTTTAACCGCTTATTTAATCTATAATATTATTATACTATATAATAATAACTCTTATTTATGTTTAATAACCTGCCTATTTAACTACGTGCTTTTAAGTTTAGAGATATTTTATTTTACGTTACTTTATTAACATCCTTTCTGGAATAATAAATTAATTTATTAAAACTTATAATAAGAATCGAGCGAGTATACAAATAGTACTGTTTTACCGCTTTCTTCATACGGTATTTTACTACTACGTGTATATAAAGCGTGCCTTTTTATTAATTTCGTGTTTTTTTCCACGACTTATTTACAGCTATAGCTGTGCAACTATTTTAAAAGTATATATATAATAAAAACAAGATTTATAATAACAGCAAAAATATTCAATAGTTTAAAACATAAGAGTTTTAACATAGATATTTTGAATTCTTGATTTTTAAAATAAAACAAAGTTGAAATTGTTTAAAATAAAATTACCTAGTATATTTCAGTTTAAACCTGAACTACATTTCTTTATAAGAATATTTACTAATAAATAATATTATATAAAGTTAGCTACGGCTTTTTAAAATATTTAAACGTTCATATCACATTATTAGCATTTTAAAAAAAATAAACAAAGGGTATATATTAACCTTATAATATACGTAGTTATTACCGAGCTTAAAAAAGGCTAATTTGCTTAAACTTATATTAAAATCGACCGTGTGGAAACAGGCTTGAACGATTAATCATAATACTCGAGTATTGGGTCAAGGTCATGATGTTGCTGATGGTTGGATTGGGAAGTCTAGCTGGACCTGCAGGTCTGGCTAAGTGACCTCACAATCCGGTATCTAATCTCTTATCTAATCATATATGTGGGTTCTGTATGGATGGTTTGACTGTGGAATCACATGGATCCAACAATTATATATATTTTATATAAATTAGTTATATCTACTAGTAAATTTCCTTCGTTATTTTTAATAAAACCTTTTTATACAGCTTTATATTTTATATATATAACCCTTTTTTTTTATCTTTTTAATTGGCTATATTACGACATGTTTTATCAAAAAGCCCGTTTAAAAAAAGTTAGGAGGTGCTAGCGGTTTAGAGCGGGGCAACGACACTTCGATTGAGAACGGCAGTACTAGAAGATCCTCGGACCAAGTGGTCCTTCTTCGCTAGCGTTTAGAAGGACCGAAACCCAAGGATTACCTAAAACTTCATACTTATTACTCAGCGTCCACATCTTCGGGTCTATAGTCACTCCTTTCTCATCCCCGTCGTGCCCGTGTTCACGACGATTATCAGATCAACGACTGATCACATATCCCTACGTCCATGAAGGACGTGGATCGTGGTTCGCATTGACCATGAGGGCCGTTGGTAACACTCTCATGGACGATCAATTCCTGCTGTCAGTCGCCGTGACCAACATCGATAGCTTTGGGTACCGGCGCTTTTGTCGATTCCAGGTCGACGTTGGCCCGGCAAGCCTGTATAGAAAGGCGTATAGAAAGGTATATTCCAATGACAGCTGTACTATCGGCCTCGAATCTGTTTCTACGCGTCGTCCCCGTTGGTGCTGCTTCCATCCCTCAACACCGGAAGCGGGACGATATGCTCTTGTACGCGGTGCGAGAAATGCCGGCGACGCTAGGATGCCAGAGGGCAGTTCTGATGCGTCTGTGGTTCCTCGACTACACCATGCACTGGTATTGGGACTGTTGCTCAAGCGCAATTGCCTGTAGCAGGTAGGTGATACATAGTACGCATCTGTGAATTTGCGTTTTCGCCGTATAGAGGGAGTTTGAACATGCTTATATCGCAGTAGCAATCTTCAGTTTGTCTCCTTTCGGTTTCGAAACACTAATATCTCTTCAAAGGGCGTTCATTGCTGTGGACAGAAACCCGGAGACGGAAAGGAAAGGGAAAACCGCACGACGCTACAGGAGACATCATGATAGTCTGAACAGATTGATGACTGATTCTTTGAGACCAGATCTTGTGTGCTGGCGAGATTGCGGTCAGCAAATAGTAGCTCCATGGCCTCAATCGGACGAGGAGCAGGGTGATAGTTGCTACCCTCTTCATCGTTTTGAGAGGAGCAAGCCTTACGACGAGGCGGGGAGGCAGCTGCCCAAGTGCACTGCTTCCGCTGGTAAATGGCCCATGGAAGATCTCTTGTCGTACGTGGTAGACTTGATTCATCATTTACCCCCTTTATCAGCAACTGCTTTCTTGACAAGCGGTTGGGAGGTGGTTCGTGCGATACTTAGCCAAGTACCTATGTGTATGACACAGCTTGGCTTCCGCGGCTTGATCTTGGCCATCGTGTGCACGTTGAAGCCCAGCTGATCTTGAATCAAGGTGTTTCAGCGTTATTTGGTTGCTTGTTTTGAGGACCGACCAACCATTTCGTTTCGCTGGGGAGGATGTTCGAAACAAGACCTCTACGGAGGGACAAGGGCCACTTCCTCGGCGACTATTGAACAGATCATTACCTTAAAGCACGAGCGATTGCCGGTGCGCTAGTGGGATGCTGGCCTCTCCCTTTGGGTTTGAAACACCATGTCGCCGGCGAGGTTGTGACGGCAAGCTGGCGATCCCACGCCTTGGCCGATCTGAGGCCCTTGGCAGTCCTTGGCGGCTCAGCCCGCCGTGCTCGAGACCGGCGTCCATAACGGCTCGGCATTCCGGGGTTGAAACCAAGCTTTGACTTGCAAGTTGCCACCCACGGTATTGTGTTCACGGGCGCTGGGTAGGCGGCATGATAAAAGGTGTCGTCTCCCTTCGCTACGGAATTTTCTCCTCCTTCTCTGCTGCTTCGTTCGGTACTCCGCTGGTCTTCGTCCCGTCTTTACGTTCATTCTGTATCTTTTCAGATCAGTGCATAGGTGCAACATTTCTTTCTCTCGTCCCCAGATCTGGTCATCTGTCCCTACAGCTCTAATAACTACGTCCTCCTGTCGTGTATAATCAACCGACTCCATCCACCCATCACCAGCCAACATGAAGTTCGCATTCGCCGTCGTCATCGCCACCCTCGCAGCTTTCGCCGTTGCCGCCCCCTTGAACATCAATCTGGGTGCCTATTCGCCCGCACTGGTGGTCGGTGATGGTGCTATCGGATTCGAGGGAGCCGAGGCAGAGGGTGAGGCAGCCACGGAAGCGGCCGCTGTGCAGGCTAATGCCATTCAGGGTAACGGAATTGCCTCTGAATAGACGCCTCTCAGGCCTGTACGTACGGTCTTGAAAGCAGGTGAGTCTCATACGCTTGGGAACCATTTGGATCGGTCAGCTAATGGATGACCTGGTAGATGTACAACGAGAAGATAAGCCAAACCACCTGGCTTGGCAGCTGGATTAGAACATTGAAACGAGCAGCAGCAGCAAGGCAACATCTCTTGGCTCAGGCTGCTCATACACAAAACCTATGCGCTCTACCGGACCTACCAAAGCGCACGCAATCATCCTGGAGTGGCGGGGAATATGGTTTCCTAGGCGTACGAGCGGGATCTGATGCTGGACATAGTCAAGATGGGTGGACACGGGCATGACAAGACAACGGAAGTCATGGAGTTATGGGGTTAGTCGAACATGAAACCTGTTCAACTAAGAAACAGTGCCAAGTAAGGCCAAGAATACAAAACGGTGACTCGGCAGTCTGCTGAAGTCTTCATGCTGAAGTCGTTGGCTAAACTCGCGGCGCTGCAGCAGATTGTGCTCGCGACTCTATTTCGTCACATCAGATGAAATTGACTAGAGAGCATGTCGGCCGCAGTCATTCGACTACAGTGACGTCTTTCCATCGCTCTTCTCCTTGTGCACATTTTCCGGCACGGGCTTCTCCAGAACACCGGCCTCGGGGTCGACGACATGTTCGCCCCTTTTCGCCGCCTGCACAAGCTCGGGATTCTCTGCCTTGAGCCTCGCAAACGTCCGCTCGGCATCCCACACCCAAGGGCTACGGCCCGCGAACAACAAGTCCATCTCTTCCAAGGTTCGCTGATTGCTCTCGGGGTAGAAAGCCCAGACAATTGGGATGGCAATCACGTTGCATGCGCCAAAGATGTGCAGTGTAGTTGCACCAATGTCTACTCTTGGTCAGGTCACTTGCCAACGAGGGGTTCAGGGGTCGTATGAGCAACTTACTCGAGAACATCACAGGGCACAGAAGCGTAAGCCATCCGTTCCCAATACTCCAGCCGACCACACCCCAGGCATTGCCCTTGGCACGAACCTGAAGAGGGAATATCTCTGCTGGGTAAAGCCAGGGGACGGTCAACCACGTTGCGCCAAAGACACTCGTGAATATGAAGACGAACGAAGCTGCCGCAGCGCCGTACGAGTTTGCCTTGCTCAGATCGCCACTATTCCTGGCTTCCTGACCAAGCTGAGAGAAGGCGCCGGCGAGGAACATGGCTATCCCTTGCCCAGCGGCCCCCCACCACAGAGTCCAGCGACGGCCGATGTGATCTAGTGTGAAGACACAGATGAGCGTTGCGAACATATAGAAGATGTTGTTGAGCCCGCTTATCCACTGGCTCTTGACCGTGTCGAAACCAGCGATGCGGAAGATGGTGGGCGCGTAGACGGTGACCCCAGCAATGCCAACCCATTCCTGGATGATCTGAAGCCAGATGACCAGCTGCACCCGCCGTCCGGTGTGCAGTTCGCCCGACCCGATACCAAAGAGCATGTGGTAGTACGAGTTCTTTTGGGATTCGCGAGACTCAAGCTCAACGATGTTCCGAATGTCCTGGAATTCCAGCTCGGCTCTCGTGGCATCGTCGCCCGTGGATCCGCGCAGGCGGCGGAGTATGTACTGCGCTTCGTCGTTTCTGCCGACCTTGACGAGCCAGCGGGGCGATTCTGGAAAGAACCAGACGATGCCTAGCAGGAAGAGGAGCGGGATGATCTGGAATGCGATTGGAAACCTCCACCGGATCGCCGAGTTACCATTGTCGACGTATGACAGGCCGAACTCGAGCCAGTAGGCAACCACGACACCGAAGATGTTGAGCGTGAACTCGATGGCAACGAACTGGCCCCTGGATGTGTGCTCGGCAGTCTCAGTGGCCCTAGACAGCGGAAGTCAGGCTATAAGCACATAGATATGACGCGCGCGTGGTGTGTGTGTTGGTGTGCGGCAGATGCCTCGGAGACTACTCACCAGACCGGAACGATAGCGTTCAGAACACCTGTCCCAATGCCATTGACCGCGCGAGCTAGGTGAACAATCAGATTGTGTGCCCCTCGGGCGAGCCAGGCGTCAGGAAAAGGACTACTCACCACAGATCATCCAGTCATGATTCATGGCCGAGCATTGCAGGCATGCGCCGACGATGGCCCACGCGGCACCTACAGCGATAGTCTTGACTCTGCCGATCTTATCACCCACCCAGCCCCCGAGGAGACATCCAAACAGAGTTCCCAGGTAGTATACAGACACGATGCCACCTTGCAATAGACTGTTCGTGATGATTGGTTCCTCGGTCACAAGGTCGACATAACCGAAGCCCATCAGGTTGATGTAGTCTTTGGCATTGTTCACACCTCCCATCATTCCTATATTTTCAACGTGTTAGCTAGCTGCCCCGTTGTGGGATATGCAGTTAGTGTAGGTCGAGTAAGCACCTTGGTCATAGCCGAAGAAGAAGATGGACAGGGCTGCAATGCAGTTGATGGCGATGAGAAGCTGGCGCTTCTCGAGGAAGTTGGCGACATTGAAGCCGGGTAACCGCTCCATTCTGCTCGTGTGTATCAGACAAAAGACTATCTATGCTCGAATTTGTTCAACAAGCCCGCGCACCAACATGTACCCTTGAGGGAGGCGACAGGGCGTCATATATATAGTCCCTTTTTCTGAGCGAAGCAAGCCAAAACCGTTTCCGCTATCGAGTCACGAGGGCACGACCCCCAGGGGACCCCCTCCCTCGTCACATGGGAGCTGAAGCCCAAAGAAGACACCCTTGAGCTCGTTCGGGGCATCTCCCCCACAAAGCGTCCCCGAAGCTCCCCCGACCTCCCCAACTTCTCCAGTTCTTCACCCTTGGAGGACATGGATTGGCCTATTACCAAACAGAGAGGGGAGGCTCTTCGGGACGCGAGTCAGTTGCGGCTCTAGTGCTAACGCTTCTACACGCGCTCCAATCAACCGGACGGCATCGCGTGCTCGTGATCCGACGCGGCTTGATTGGGTGGAACTTCTCTGCCAAATGTCCAGAACGCTTAGACACATATGAGTCACTCCTGTATGCCATTGAAGAGAACAGTTCGTTTATCGAGGGTTGAAAGCACTTGGTACCAGGTCCGGTGTTGATTGATACCTCACACTGAGCTCCCCAAGCCCGACAACCATCGGTCTTCGTCCAGTGAGTCGATCTTGCGTGGGCGCCGGTCGTATTCCACCCAGTCCAACTCAGTCGAGCATGGTGACCGACACAGGGGCGAAGGAGGTAAGGGCAGAGTGCAGAGTGCAGGTCTCGGTAAGTCGATGTGAGTACGGACTACTGCAAGTACTGGCAGTCGTGTGACTCGAAAAAGCACTCTCGCGGTAAGACTTCCAAGCTCCCTACAAACAGGTCACGAGAGCGACCTCCGTCCCCAAACACACCCACGCATTACCATGTCTTCCTCCACCCTCTCAGGCCAGCACCGCTTCATCAACGCCGTCTACTACCCGAGCTGGCGCATCTACCGCGGCCTCGCCCCTTCATCCCTCCAACTCGACAGCATCAACCGCGTCTTCTACGGCTTCGCGCGCCTCAATGAAGACGGCACGCTCCGGCTCCTCGATCCGCACGCCGACCTCGCCATAGCGGCCGACGGCGAACAGGGCTGCCTCGCCGCCCTTGCCAAGCACCAGCACCGTCACCACCTCCACCACCACCTGCAGACACTCGTGTCCATCGGCGGTGGAGGAGGCAGCGCCGAATTCCCCACCGTGGCCGCGGACCCAGCGCGCCGCGCCGTCGAGGCCGCGCCTGCCGGGCCTTCGTCGACGAGCACGGCCTCGACGGCGTGGACATCGACTGGGAGCACCCCGCCACCGCCCACGATGGCGTGAACTACATCGCCCTACTCCGCGCACTGCGCGCGGCCCTGCCCGCCGACGCGTACTGCCTGCAGCACATCACCCTCCCCGCCGCGGCACAGTTGCCGGACAGCCTGAATCTCATGGCGTACGACTTCACCGGGCCCTGGACGGACGCCAGCGGCCACCACGCCCAGCTCCTCACGCCTCCGGGCGAGGATCTTCACTCGGCGGAGCGGCACAGCGGCCACGGCGGCGTCGAGTACCTCCTCGCGCACAACTTCCCGCCGCAAGATCGTCCTAGGCATCCCCGTCTACGCGCGCAGTTTCGCAGGGGCGCACGGCCCGGGCCAGCCGTTCGGCGAGGCGGCCGAGATGGACTACTGCGAGCTGCCGGCGGACTGGATCCGGGATGCGCGGGTCGACGGGGAAGTGTGTGCCGCGAGTTATGTCGATCACGCGCCTGATGGGAAGGGCTTCGTGAGTTTCGACGTGCCCGAGACGGTGAGGCGGAAGGCGGAGTACGTCAGGCACATGGGACTCGGCGGGCTGTTCTACTGGACCGGCGTGGGGGACGTGATGGGGCCCGGGAGTCTTGTTCGTGCGGGATTCGAGGCACTCAATATCAATGGATGATCTCCAAGGAATGAGTAGATATGCTTTGCTACTCATCTGGGTGTGATGGCCACCTTCAGACTACGACCCAGACTGAGTAACCGTGGTTGCTTAGTCTGGAGTCGACACTAGACTCAGACGAGTACTGGTGTGACCGGTGCTCGGGGGTTCACTCTTGTGCTACGATGCTGCTGCGAGTACTCTGGTCCGCGCCGGCATGGATCCTGAGATGTGGATCGATCACCCCCAAGTCATCACCTGAGTACCTAGGTCACTGGTCGAGCAGACGTCTAATGGGAAAAGTGTATCGATAAGTTTGTACATCAAGCTCCTCGTGGACCGACAGTCACGCTAGTCTGACCATTGCAACGGTCTACGTCTCTTCCTTCTACTGCTAATTCTCATGTAGTGTTAGCGGAAGGGTGATCTACCTCGGTGTGTCCGCCAGGCTCACTTTATTTCCTCAGGTACACTCAGCCCTCATAAGTCTCCGTACGTGCCGTGTTAGAAGAATTCCAGATCACACACAAAATTTTGGAAATGCTGGAATAAGCAGACAGGAATAAGTAGCTCATAATTATAAAGTCATTTTTATACTTATTCTAGCGTGCTTATTCCATAAACGCACTTTTTACTTGGTGAATGAGTGGTGTGTGCAACTAGACCAGAGGGAAAGAAATGGCAAGACATTGGGCTAGCAAGTAGTGTCTGGCACGTAAGACTGTGAGCATATTGTGCAAAGAATGTATCTAGATGTATTAGGTTGCATCGACTACCTGTCTAGCCGTGTCTCCCCAGCGCAGATATGTATATAACGGCCCGTAGCCTGGTCCCGCATCCATGACCAAGTGAGTGAAACCAAGGGCCGATACTCAATGCAGTGGGAGAAAACTGTTCGCGTGCTGGGCCTGTCCCTTTTGTTGAACACCTGTGAAATGATCCTTCCTCAATTGGGGCCCCTGATGAAAGCTGTGCGGCGATTCAAGTCAATCTCATTGCTAGTAAAGGGACGGGAAGAAACAACAACATACTAAGCTTTCACGACATTCGAGAGCTTAGGGGATGGGCGACTTGTCGGCATCGCCGGGCTGGCTCGACTGGGTGTCGCGTCTCTTCTTTTCCATGTTCTTGCCTTCGGCGCCACTGTCAGATGCAGACGATTCTGGGCCTCGTGCCTTCAGCTTCTCCTGGGCGTCGTGACGATGCATCATCATTTCGACAAGACCGGGGTTGGTGAGTTCGTCAGCTCGGGCTTGTTGGACATCCTCCCAGGCACGGATTGCCTCCTTGACCTCGTTCAGCATGGCCATGTTCTTGTTGCGCACTCTGAACTGCTCCTGGGTATCCGAAGCCAAGAATTCCTGATCAGAAACAGTGGTCTGCAGCACATCGTGGATGCTTCCCTTCTTAATGTGGAGTAGACCGATCTTCAGGGCGATTTCGCCGTTGGTCATCTGGTTCAGGTCATGATACTTCGGAAGATCGAACCCGTCGCCGATTGGAGCCTTGATCTTTCGGATAGAGAGGTCCTCTAGCTTCGGGGTTTTGAAGGAGACCCCCTTGCCTGCTCGCGTGTGACCCTCGGGTGCGCTGGCTCTGCGAAGGCGGCTCTCCTGTATTCGAGAGACGTTCAGATGGCCAGCAGAGGCGGGAGGCGGGACTGTGGTGGTGGTGACGGCGGCGTGGTGAAAGGCGGGAACAGGAGGGGTACTGCCACGACGGATAGTACCAGGGCCAGAGACAGGGGCTCCGGCGTCTCTCGAGTTGACCCAGCCCTGGTCGGTGCGTACAGCGCCAGCACCCGTGTAAGGTGTAGTGTAAGGTTTGTAGTCTTTGTCGTCGGAGGCGCCCATGGTTAGTTCTGGAAGCTGTGGGAGATCCTATTAGACACGATTTAGTACAAGGAATCCCACAAAGCTGCGCAAAAGTAGTATGAAAAGAGTGTGGAAGGAGCCACGAGCTCGAAAGGGAAGGTGACGAGGATGGGACAAATCCATCCATACTTTGGGGGAATCAAAGGTACAAAGGAAGGGATCCTGAGGCGGAATGAGCTTCAGCACAAGCCAGGATGATGGATGCGGGTGGTACAGATGCAGAATGCGTCTGGTGAAGAAGGGCAGGCACGACCAATCTGGGCAACCAGAAACGACACGATTGGGTGCGAGATGGAGGTTGGGTGGTGCGGCTCGTGTGGAAGGGTAAGGTATGCTTGGAAATGAAGGGAATACCTCGAGAACGGAGAGACTGACGGTTTGTAGTTTGTGGTCGTTGGAGCCGAAGAGAGGTGGCAGGTGACGCCAACCTCGAGGTAAAAACAAGCACTCCTTGAGATCAATACGAAGTGAAGGTCGCCACGGAGACTCACGCCCTGGAGGGACGATGGCGTGATGAAAGGGTGCAGACTGCGGGTTTCACCGGAAACAATTAAGGTTGATGCAATGGATGTTGTTTGTTTGCTTCGGTGAGGAGTGACGTGCGTGCAGGTGCTTCATGCTGGACATTGGTTTCCAGAGTCACGGGGGCACCGGGCAGGTGGAAGCGACGACCGTGATGTGAGATGAACTGTACATAGGTAATGTACACTGAGCCCCCATAAGTCTCTGCACACCAGAGAAATTTATAAAATCGGAATAAGCACCATGGAATAAGCATTAGCAGTGGCTTATCAAACCAGAGCTGCTTATTTCTGTATGCTTATTCCAGTATTTCGATATTTCCCTACAGGTGATCTGAGTCTTATCTTGTCAACGTATACACACACACACACACACACACACACACAGAGAGAGAGAGAGAGAGAGAGAGAGAGGGACTTATGAGGGCTGAGTGTACCCAATGTACCGACACCTTCCCTGACTTGTATCACTGAATGAATCAAACATCCGTATTACAATCCATCTAGTACACACTCGAGGTGAAATTGTGCCGATAGATAATCCCATATAGTCATTTGCTGGCCTTTATCGCAGTACCTATCCTCTTGTCAGTCCTGCTCGGCAACTATGAGTATGAACCTCTCTAAGCACCAAGGCAGCTGAATATATATATATATATACATATCCTAAGCTGTACTATTTTACTGTTCGATTGGTAGATCACCGCATAGACATGCCGCACCAGATGGGCATTATTGGTCTTGTGTCGCTCCACACACTCGTCATCATGATCTCACAAGGGCATCCGTTGGGTAGGTGTCTGGCGAAAGGGGTATCAGGTGCCTTACATCTTCGTTCCCATTCGTGGGCACCATAGCCCAGGGTCATTCTGCTTAGCCACGTTCCGCAACAGACCATCTATCCTGTCATTCTCAGACTGCCCAACACCCAAATTAGTGGGTTTGACCATCCCCGACGCACGAGCAGTACTCTACTGAATCATCGATTCGCAGCCTCTTGTACTTGGTCAGTGCCATGAGTTGGGCACTCAATGGACACACAGTCGGGCTCTCCTCCTTCGGTTAAATCAGAGCTCCCAGGACCTCCAGGTGGTGAATGGCGGTGAGGACATAGTAAACAGGAGCCTCGGGGAATTAGAGACCACCATCCAAGGGCACAAGTCTGAAATCTATCGATTGGAAGATCTGATGTCCCGTGCACGGGCACGATGGCCCGAAATCGAGCGAGCCGGGATGCTGGGCGATTCCCGTTGTATATGGGCCCCGTTCAAGGGATTGGTTCCATTTCAGAGCTACACCAAGACGGCTCCAACCAGAAGGGTCTGGGAAGGGGTGCCGAGCAATACCTTGTGCACCTGGAGACCGCAGTCTCGGTCACGATTGATTCGGATTCATGACTTGATAGTATATCCTCCTTGGTAGAAGAAGCCACCAGTACAAGCGAGGGAAGCAACGGCTAGAGGCAGTTCGAGCTCAATGACAGACCAAACCCACAGGCAGCCCAACGGCGGAGACCGCTTCATGACAGCAATGTATCCGTAGGTGGTCGAGATGTGGACCAGGTAGCACCCGGAGGCGATGCTTGCGGCGAGGAAGATAGTCTGCCGCAAATAGGGCTGGAACCGGAGAGGTAAACCGGGTAGGAGGACGGGCGATGACGGATGGGGATGGAGCACGTAGAAGAGCAGAAAGAACACTGTAGCCCGGGACCGTTAGCTTGAAAGGTCATCAAGACGACGACGGTGTGGGCATGATGGACTCACCAATCATAGCTTGCACAGCCCGGATGACGATATCGGGCCAGACGAGTCGCATTGCGTACTGATGTTGGACGAGGACGTCGAGGGTAAAGTGCAACATGGCCAAGCTCACACTCCAGAGTATTGTCTCCATGACCCTCTCGAAAACTGGCGACAGTGGTGCATCCTCTTCGTCCTCCTCGGCGCCCTCTCGTCGTGCTCGTTGACTCTTCTCGCGCCGCTCTGCTTGCTCAAAGAGGTTGCGCTCGTCGGCGAGCTGGAGCAGGGTGGTCTCGTTCGGGCCGGAGCGGTCGGGCTGTGCGAGCTTGGTGTCGCCAGCAGCTTTTCTTTCTTTCCGGGTCCGTACCATGGTGATTATTCGCGGAGGCCGAGGTGCGCTGTCGATACAGGGAGGTTGAAAAGCGAGTGACTGAAGTTCCAAGGTTGGAGCTTTCGATATAGCTCTCGTCAGGGGTCCTGAATGCCAATGGGTACCTTGAAGATGCCTGCCCCACACAAGCTGTATTTACCTACCAATAAGAAGAGGGCTTCCGGACAGACACACCCGACTGGAGGGCTGCGGGGACAGTTATTATGTTCGTACCTGCACCTTGAACCTTCTACGGCAGGCACATCCTATCCCTTCCAAGTTGGCATATGCATGACACACATGCACGCACAGTAATAAGTAAGCAGTACCGGTACCTCAACTTGCATTCCAAGTCATGATTCGGGGAGCAACGACTCCCACGAGGCGGAAGAGGCTCTTCAACGGCACGAGAGCGGATAGCTGCCGATAGCAGCAGTATGTAAGCTCCACCTCTTATTGACGATCTCTTCCCAATGTGGTGTCTGCCACTCTGACCTCCGACTTCCGAATTGGCCTGTCGCTTGTCAAATTTGCCCATCCCCAGCTTTCTCGCGTCTAATTAATCGTCGTAAGGGGTCGTCGGTGGTCAGTGGTCGTCACCCATCACCCATCACCCGTCACCCGTCACTACTGGTACGTAAAATGGCAAGGTGGCATTATCTCTCGTTTGCATATCGTCGAATTTCTCATTTCCCATTTCCAGACTGAGGGGGGTAGAGAGCCCTTTTCTACCCCTTCGCGTCCCTTCGCGTCTCTCCCCGCCGCTTTCTGGAGAACAGCTTCTACGTGTGCCAACTAGCTACCGGTACTGCTCGATAAGGATACCAATTGGTGTCCGCAAGTGCGAATATTAGGTTGTGCGTTGGGAGGGGACGACGTTAGACCCCGCGTTGCCGCAAGGCCACTTATTACTGTACCAGACACCGAGCGAGCGTCGGGACACACCACACCCAACGGCGCGCGCTGATCGCCGCCACATACTCTCAGGAGTAGGGACGAGCCCGATCACGAGTTTTCGAACTTACACATTGACGGCGCGTCCGAAACGCTTAGAGCTCAAGATGGACACGGACACGCAAACGCTCCTCCTCGCGCTCGCCATCCCGCTGATCGGCCTGCCGCTGCTCTACACCTACACCGCGTCCGCCACCGCCGCCCGCCTGCCGACCCTGCGCAACAAGCGCATCTGCCTGCTGATCGCCCACCCAGACGACGAGGCCATGTTCTTTGCGCCCACCGTGCTGGCGCTCACGCGACCTGAGACGGGAAACCATGTCAAGATCCTGTGTCTGAGCATTGGCGACGCCGACGGTCTGGGCGAGACACGCAAGCGCGAGCTGGTGCGCAGTGCCATGTTGCTGGGGTGCAGGCAGGAGGATGACGTGTTTGTGATTGACAGTCCGTAAGTCTCCTTATTCCTTTCACGCGACTTCACTATGGGCAGGAGTCTTGGAGGAGGTCATCGTGGGAAGATTCAGGGGGGATGGGGCAGACGGAAGCGCTCGAGCATGCCCCCCTCCCCCTCCCCCTTTTCCGCAGAGAGATAGCAGGCAGACAAATCCGAACTACAAGGTGCGGCGGAATGCTGACCAACCGGCCAACACACAGCGACTTCCCCGACTCCATCACCACAGAGTGGGATCCGACGCGCATCAGCGCCCTCCTGAGCAGCGCCTTCGCGCCGCACCTCTCGTCGAAAAAGGACAACAGCACCGCGCCGACCGCCCTGATCGACGCCCTCGTGACCTTCGACGCCTGCGGCGTCTCCTCGCACCCGAACCACATCTCGCTCTACCACGGCGCCCACGCCTTCGTGCGCGCCCTCGTGCACGACAAGCCCGGCTGGGCCTCGCCCGTCGACCTGTACACCCTGTCCTCGGTCAGCGTGCTGCGCAAGTACGTCGGCTTCCTCGATATGTTCGCCACCATGGTGGCGCTGGCCTGGGCGGCCATGGCGGCGGGCGGGGGGAAGAAGAAGGGCGCGAAGCGGAAGAGCGACAGGGGCAACCCGGGCGTCCTGGTCAACATGAGCGCCCTGGTCGGCGGCCGCGAGAGCTATGGCACGGCGCGCTGCGCCATGACACAGGCGCACAAGAGCCAGATGGTGTGGTTCCGGTGGGGGTGGATCGCGCTCAGTCGGTACATGGTCATCAATGACCTGCGCCTCGAGAAGGTCAAGTCGTGACTAGCCAGCGTGCTTTCACGGGCGAAGCCAAGTTCGGATGGCCGTAGGTCCGCATCTCAAATCATGGTAGCATACTATCATGAAGCATATAATTCACGGCGAGGCGAGGGAGCGGCTCTGGATAGGGGCCATCTTCCGTCATTAAAAGCGGTGTCATGTCTCCTGCGAGAAGCAGTCGAGTATATTGCATACAAACCGCCTTAGCTGCCGCCACCTCCACAGAGAAGGGGCTGGCATGGTGTACGTACAAATCAAAGACCACTTGAATATAAAACTTGTACACTTCAGGACCAAATCCACTACACATCATCGTCATCGTCACCGTGGAATTGTGGTGCTGGCGTATCATCGAACGCTGGTTCCCACACCGGATGCCTCCGCACTAGGGGTCTGTTAGACTTCTTGCGGAAGTCGTGGAGCAGCAGGGCCAGGGGGTCAAGCTCGGACGCCTTCTGCTTCGCGAACGAATGGCTGGACTCGAGTAGCATCTTCCTCCGCTTCACACGCTGGTGCACCCAAACTTGCTTCTGCCTCATCGGAACGTCCATGACCACGTCGCGACCGCCCGTGGTCCGGAATGTCTCCAGTGCCGGATCCCTTAGGGCAATATCACCCGTTCGTGTGCGAAACTCGATGGGGTTCGTCAAGAAGGCACCGAACTCCTTGATGAAGCCTGGGATCATCGGGTTCGGGAACCGTGTTGACCAGAGATTGCCGGCACGGGGGCACTTGAGTAGCACCGCCCGGCAGCATCGGTGGATGTCGTACCACATGTACTGCTTCCTGAACCAAGCTCTCTCATATGCCCGCACGACTTGGCTGGTGTTGACCCCGTCCCGCATGTGTTGAGTGTACCGGAAAACTGCCTCTTCGTATTCCTGGCATTTTGCTTCGTACAGTTTCACGGTTTCTCGCATGTAGGGAAGGGCGTCGTCAATCATGGACCGCCCGAGGAAGCTCCGGATGAGAATGCTATACTGCTTGAAGTCCGGTTTGATGCTGTAAGGCGGCGAAGTCATGGCATTCCAGATCATCTGCACAGCCTGGCCACTTGGCACTTTGGAGTACATGCCGGCCAGCTTCCACGTCGTCGAGGTCGGCGGCGAACTCATGATGTAGGTCCATTCTAGCAAGTCGTCCCAGACGCCGAACGGTATGGGGATTGCGTACGAGTTGGATATATGGTCAATGAGTTGGAAGGCCACGGATATCTCGCCGTTGGAGCCATACGTCTCGACAACGGCTCGCATTAGTCCAACGCTGGGCCTGATGCGGTAGTTTACACGCCTCAGTTCGATCTGGCTCGCCGCCGCCGCGCCGGCTACCGCCCTTGGCTCGTCGTAAGTCAATCTTGACATGCTGATGCCAAAGTAAGCCTCCAGAATCTTGGAGCCAATGGCGCGTAAAGATCCGGTGCGTCCAAGTGCAACCATGACAGTACATAGTAGCCGTTCGGTGACCCCGTGGCCGTTCTTGAGGATCCTGGAGAATAGTCTCATTGGCGGACCCTGGTTCCTCAAGTACCTCATGACATCCTCTGCATGTTTTACGTCCTTGTTCAGGCCAAATTTGAACCTGCTGCGGCGAAGGTTGAGTCGCATTCGATCTAAGCGGTACACGCGAGTGTTGGCGAGTCGCAGCCGGCTCCTGTGGAGATTCCGCGGCTGGACCAACCTTCTCATCTTGTCGTAGTTGGTGTAAAGCGCCTCGGTCAAGAAGCGCGCTGCCATGAACTCAGTGTAGGCCTGACTTTGGCGCCAAATGGTGGTATTGGAAGTGTCCATTTCGCGCCAGATGAACTTGGCGCCAGCGGGATCCGAGGCAGCACCAGCGCATCGCATCAGGCAGTTGTACTCGTCCATGTGCAGGTATTGGCCCGAGTCCTTCAGAGCGCTCATCAGAACTAGCATGCCCTGCAATAACTGGCCGTAGATTCTCCTGACCCCGTTATCATCCACCACAGAGTCCATGTCCAGCATCGAAAACATGCCTGGAGGGATGAAGGCCCGCTGCGCTGGGTCGACTTCTCGGAGGACTTGATAAGGATCGAGCGAGCGGAAAAACTCGGTGAAGGTAGTACGCGGCAAGGTGGCCACGGCATGCTGGAGTTGTTCCTGGGGCATTCGCGTAATACGTCTCAGTTGCAAGAGCAGTTTGCGCGTGTCTCTTGCGCGCAATGCGAATAGTGCCAGTCTGAAAGGATCGGCAAGCTGGTCTTCAGGGTTGGCACCAGACACTGGCTCGTTGGGTTGTCTGACATCCTGCGCGCCTACATTGTCGGCGCTCTGCTGGGCACCATGGCTGTTGGCAGCGGTGTTGGTCAGATCTCGGGACCTCGACCACCGCACTAGCTGCTCAATGAGGGCGATCTCTTGAGCGGACACGGCAGCATGCGACTGGGTGGTCGCATGGCGTAGGCCGCCGGCAGCATTGCGGATGGCACGAGGCTCGATCAGTCGAGCAACGGAGGCAGTAGAAGGGCCAGGTGCTCGTCTCACTCGTCTCGAGGCTGGCGGTAGGTGGAAGGACCGGTGTAGACGAAGACTGAGGATTCGGGATGGCGTTCCTCGGGGCGGGTTATGGAGCAAGGCATAATGTCGGCCCATCCCGCCGAGCTCCACCGCTGAAGCAGCTGGAAACATATGTATCTCGTGCTAGCAGGTGGGTTCAGCATGACTCGGGCATTCGGTAGCTGGCTGCTGGCGGCTGGTCGTGGGTATGGGACCGCAGGGCAGGCATCAAGCTGGTACGGGCTTCGGGTTTGGTGATGGAGACGGTGGACCTGGCGGCCAGGGCTTACATTTACAAGTTACGGAGCGCACAGTGGAGGTCGGGTCCAGTGCACGGTCCACTCAGCTGCCATTGTACCTGTACATAGTTCGGCCGCGGCAACAGGATTTTTCCAGTGGTCATAGCGCCACAGCTGGAGACTCGAGCTCAGGCAAGAGGTCCCGCCCTGTCGCACACCTTACCTCATCCTTCAGTACCGGCCATCTTGAAGTCCACCCGCGACTAATAATTGAGACAAACGCCCAAACGACTTCAGAAGACTGCGATCGATATGGCCGAAGTCGAAGAAGGCCCTGCCGGCGGTTCAGGCTCCGAGCCTCTCGACCTGGTGCGCCTGCTGCTGGACGAGGTAGTGTTCGTGAAGCTAAGAGGTGATCGCGAGCTGCAAGGTCGGCTTCATGTGCGTATTTCACTATCACCAAATTTGTCGGGTGTCTTCGCGTCTGCGCTTACTGACTGTTCCCGAGGCCTACGACAGCCATATGAACTTGATCCTCGGCGATGTGGTCGAGACCATCTACGTGGTAGACGATGAGGAGGAGGACGACGAGATACGAGTGAGCTGCCTCCTTCAGCCTGCCCCAAGATTGTCATATCGATGGTATGCTCATATGTATCTTAGACTACCACCAAGAAGTCCGAGATGTTGTTCGTTCGAGGTAGGTCGCACCTCTCTCGGTACCGGTCGACATTTTTCTGATGTGTTGCGCTGCAGGTGACAGTGTTGTGCTCCTCTCACCACAGAATTCATCATGAACAACCACGACCGCCAACCTGACTGCGCTTCATATGACACTGGGGCCATCGCGCCTGGTCTCCAGTTATCATTTCAGCCAAGTGCTGTGAATTCGCACTTACCATCCACGGAATAGGGGCTTTGGAGGCCACATAGGACATAGGTAGCTCTGTCGACCATGACAAGCCAAAGGGAGGTCGATCCCTTTTGAGCAACACTCCAGACTTGCTCGGCCGAATTCGAAGCCTCATGACTGCCGTCACCGCCACGGTTCCGCGGTGCGCCAAAACCCGATGCGCTGTTCTCGGGCCGGCCGCAGCATTGTGTGTGTGCGCCTCGTGCAGTGTCATGGCTGTTGGTCTGGATAGCCCACTGCATCTTCTATACCCAACCCAATGCAAGGATCGGACTGTTGTCGATCGAGGTGCCATCTTAAACTGTCTTCCATCAGAATCCGCATCGTCGTGTTGTCGGGTTAGTGTTGCATCCATTGATAATGTCTGTCTACCCCTGTCCGAATGCCGACTCTTGGACGTCATCTCCTTGATCGGTGCCGCCCGCAGCGTTGCAGGCTTCCTTATCCGCCTCCTCAGCATGCATGTCGGATGACCTCCCACCACGCTTATCACCCTTTTGATAGCTACGTACCACCGTAGTCTTGATGCAGTGTGTATCTATAGGTACCTTCATCTGAGTTGTAACACTGCGATGCTTGTTGAGCCCCTGTTTCTTCCCCACCTGAAGCTCTGATAAGGCCACCAGCTACGACATCTTCCTGTCAGCGCGTTACCTCACGTCGAGCTTCTCTTTCGTTGTACGTAAACGGGCATTGTAACTTTGTATTCTTATCGACCGGTATTGCTGTACGTACAAATGCTTGAATGTCACCTATATACCAGCAAGCACACTACTAAGCCATCGGAAATCATCGAGAGATTACTGATTTATCTCTTACCACATTTGAGGGCGTTCATCGTACTCTTAACATTTTGATCATGTCTACCGAAAAGACGGAAGATGCGGAAAGGGGTCAAGTGTCCAAGGCCACCGATGTCGACGCGGCTCTTGAGTATCTCAATTATGAGAACGCTGCGGTCATGACAGCGGTTGACGAGAAGGCCCTCGTCAGGAAGCTTGACTTGACTATCGTGCCCATCATGTGTAAGCCGTCTCGGGTGTGTCCTACGATCACTTGCTAACGTCTACATAGGGGCTTGTTACAACCTCCAGTACCTGGACAAGACGCTGAGTATGCCTTGTAAAACACTCTTGATATAGTGACCGTGCTGATAATGTGTAGTCAACTACGCCAATGTGATGGACCTCCAGGAGGACACTGGAATCAGTGGGTCGCAGTTCAGCCTGTTAGCAACTCTCTTCTATGTCACATATCTAGTATGTGAGTTTCCAACCGGTTACCTCATGCAGAGGTTGCCGACAGCAAAGTACCTGGGCGCCAACGTGACGCTCTGGGGTCTCATGGTGGCCTTGAACGCCGCAGCGAACAACTGGGCTACCCTCGCCGCCCTGCGATCCCTGCTCGGCTGCTTTGAAGCCGCCGTCGCTCCAGCGCTCATCCTGATCACCAGTATGTGGTATAAGAAGAGCGAGCAACCTGCCCGCGTAGGGTTCTGGTACGTGGGCACGGGAACGGGCGTCATCCTCGGCGCCCTGACATCCTTTGGCTTCCAGCACTACATGTCGGACACGTTCAAGTCGTGGCAGATCATGTTTCTTCTCTTCGGTCTGATCACCATCTGCGTCGGTATCCTCGTCATGTTCTACTTGCCAGACAGCCCAATGAAGTCCCGCCTCACGCGCGAAGAGAAGATCTGGGCCATCGAGCGAGTTCGCGAGAACCAGACCGGCATCGAGAACAAGCACTTCAAGGCGTATCAGGTGTGGGAGTGCTTCAAGGATCCGCAGACCTGGCTCCTGGCCATTATCATCATCACCTCCAATATTCCCAACGGCGCCGTCAGTAGCTTTCAGGCAACCATCATCAAAGGTTTCGGGTATACATCCAAGCAGACGGCCCTGCTGTCTATTCCGTCTGGTGTCGTCTCCTGCATCGCCGTCATCTCCGCCAGCGTGGCATCCTCCCGGCTCAACGTCCGCGGTCCCATCATTATCGTGGTCCTGCTGATCGGCGGTGTTCTCGGCGGCTGCCTCCTCGCCTTCTCGCCCGCCGACAATAAGGGCCCGCTGCTGACGGGCAACTATCTCACCAACGTCATCGGCTCTTCCCTGCCCATTCTCTACTCGTACGCGGCAGCTAACTACGCCGGGCATACCAAGAAGGTCACCATGAACGCCGTGACTCTGATATCCTTCTGCGTGGGAAACATCATCGGACCGCAGACGTTCCGGGAGGAGGATGCGCCCGAATACTTGGCTGCCAAGGTCACGATTGTCGTGAGCTCGATCGTCGCTGCTGCGGCAACTGGGGTGCTCATGGCGTACTATGCGTGGGAGAACCGTAGCAGGGATCGCCGCCATGCGGGCGTGGATCATACGCAGAACAGCGAGTTCTTCGATTTGACGGATCGCGAGAACAGGGAGTTTAGAGTAAGTTGAGACTGAGCAGAAATTGTGGGATATTTCTAATGGTTATTTACAGTACCGGTGGTGAGAAGCGAAGGTCCAGTCAGGAAGGTTTAGAGAGGTGTGATAGGGGAGGTCTTGTGGCAAACATGAAAGTCAATATCTGATCTGAGAGGTGCGAGATTTGGGTACGGATACGAATCACATGCACAGGAGCCCGCGGGAACCTGTTGAGCTGTCTTCGTAGGGGATCATCACTCTCACTTGGTGGCGATGTGGTTGTCGCAATTCTAACCAGAGGGTGGATGAAGGCGACGGCAATGGCCATGGCAAGACCACATGCGCCAATGCCAGCGTTCGGGCGTCATCTTGGTGGCATGGTTTATGTAGGCACACACCTATTCCAGGTGCATACCTTAGCCAAGAGTACAACAGTAAGGGGATTCGGCAAATGGGAATCTAGCAGCATTGGCACAAATCGATAGAACAATAGAATGTAAACATTGAATATGAGTCGAAACTCCGAGACTCGGGTCACGGGTGATGTCCTGCGTCTTCATGACGATACCGGTATGATCGCACCCGACCGTGCGTGTTGTGGTGAATCGCCCCGGCCTCATGTTCCCCCCTCGTGTGAAACAACCTTATTATAATATTATGTACCTACCAGTAGCAGTACATCATGGCTCCTAGGATATTGCAGGTAACAAGGAGTAGCAAAATGAACATGACGACCGAGTTCGCGATAATTCGGCGCGTATCAAAGTCTGTCAATGTATATCGCAGCACGAACCACGCAAGAAAGAGACACCAGAACACCGCACCCACTCCGGATAGAAGGCACAAGTGGCTGCTGGACAGCATCTTTCTGTTGGGTATGAGCGTCTAAGTTTGGATGCTGCAGGACATTGTATGAGGATTATACCGGAACTGTACTTGGACACCGGAATGGTTGAGCTGTCTTATATATCAAGGCCCAGACCAGATGACGCTTCTCTCGGGAAAAAGACAAACACAATTCTCAGACACACAAGGCCTATGTCTGCAACTGCAATGGCTTTGTAGGCATTGTGTCGGCCAGAGAGAGCTGCCCAGAAGGCCCTTTGATCATAATCAAAGGACGAAGCTGATAGGTGTCAAGCGACACAAAGGGAACATCCCCTTTGTTTGATGTGGTAATCCGAAAGGCATCGAAGGAGGCATCCATGTGAGACCTTGGCCATTGCAGGCATTGCAACACGCAGAGGCGTTGAATATGCCATACAGAAAACAAGCAGCTCTTCTCACCTTGGTCCTCTTCTCTTGTATCGTGTCTAGCTAGCTGTCCGTCAAACCGAACTGACTCTTCCAATCTCGTGCAATGCAACTATCAAGGAGTGGAAAGAGCATCTTGCTTATGACTTCGACTATGTGCCGAGGGTTCCTGATCGACGCGAAGGTAAGCACAGAGTAAATGCCCGTCGTTAACTAGCCAAATAACTAACAAAGGATCGTATCAAGTCTTTCTTAAAACATTAGTAACGCCACGATTTTACTAATTAAGCAAACAATATATTTTGCCCCGTTGAAATTGACCTTTTCCTTCATAGTATTTTAATTAGTAAGTATATTTAAACGATCTCTATATAAAACGAACCGTATTATCGCGATATATCTTTTGATTTACGTTGCAGTTGTTAAAATTAATTAAAAGTAATAATTATAAGCCGTACGTAGTGTTATAACGGCGTAGTTAAATTATATATTTTCCTTTTAAAAATATCGTATTAAAAGTAATAAAACCGTAAAAACGGCGTCTCTTATAACTAGCTAGGTACAATTAAACTAAAAGGTTATAAATAAATAAAGATACCTTAAATTAAGTATATGTTAAATATAGTAGCAAGTATTATCGTCGTGCGGCTTTTTCTCTCTCTCGTCACGTAACTCTCCCCTTTAAAAATCCCCCATCAATAACAGCAAAGCTGCAAAAGCGGCGTCGCCTGCAGCCAGCTAGGTACAGCTAGACCAACCAGTCATACGTAAGCCCACACGCGAAACGCGCGAAGCGCGTTGAGAAGCTACGAAGTAGCTGGTTTACGCAGTGACCTATCCCTCTGTTTTGCCCTCCGTCAACCCTATCCTATCGACAGTGTATAACCGGAGACTCAATGCTTTTGCTGGGCTTCCTGGTCTTCGTCTCAACGAGGACTTGGGAATCGCAGGATGAACGCATACTTTAGCCGAGAGATTAACACTGTAAACCAGCATCCATGATTCCATGTTTGGAGCCATCCGACTTGCTCCTCATCCTCACCCATGGCGATTGAAGCGGGCGGCCAAATGGGACGTCCGAGGCGTCCCCGACTTCCCCGCACCGGGACGTCTGTCCTCTAAGGTAGCCTGTAACGCAAAGTAGTTCATATCTACAGTTCGGCCAGAATGTTAATAGGCTAATGGTAAATATATAGTAGATTTACTACCGTTTATAATAACATTTTTTATATTGCTGATAATGTTAACATATTAAGGACTTAAAGCTTTACAAATCAAAACTTGAAATTTTTATTTAAAGGTAGTAAATAACTTAGCGCCTTTCTAAAACGCAGCTTTGTTATAAGATAAATATATTATAATAGTTGATTGAATAATATAAATTATTAATCACTTATAGCAATGCTTATTTCATAAAACTACAAGTTTTTAAATATGTATTAAATATATTAATATCCATTACATGTAATTAATACGTAGTTACTAAAAGTAAAATATGCAGCGGATTTATCGCCTTTAAGCGTTAATATAAGAATAGTTAATAGTAAATAAACACCGTGTATTTGTCCCCCAATACTAGCTGACGTTGTTATACAATTACTTAGTAACTTTTTAATGATAATCTAAATATTAAACATCATTTAATATGTAAGAAATATATTAATAAGCTTAGTTGTCACGGAACAGCTGGCAGCTCAGGACGAAGATGCCCATCTATTACTCCAGATGAATAAGAATCTACTGGTGAGGAGGGAAGAAGGATCAGAACCACCAGCCAATTCTGGTGGGGGATTAGATCTTCAATCCCGCTCCACAATTATCCATAGTGAGTGCAGCGGGGCAACGCGTCCACCCCACCAGATCACCTGATGAGCGCACGTACCACCGTGAATGGATGGATGGATGTCAGATCCATCACATTAGTATAGATTGCATGATTAAAATAAAAAGGTTAACGTTAAAGTATGCTACAATTATTATTATACGGGTATAACTTGAAAATATAGTTTACGTATCGGTAACTTTATATGTAAGTATTTCAACTTGATATATATTAACATATAATATTATAAGTGTTAAAAAAAAGAAAATTAAAATTAAAAACAAGCTTAAACGTTTAACGGCTTTATAAATAAGGTTTTATAAGTTGTAATAATTAGCCGGCTATATAAATAAGTGCGTATAATCGAGACAGAAAAGCGAAAGTAAAAACATAGATTTAAATCTCTTAGTAAAAGAAGGAAATTCAAGTAAAAAGTAAAGGTATATTGGTTAAAGTTTAAGATTATATTAGCAAATATATAAGACTAACGTATTAAATCATAAGATATATATTTATAATAATAACGACTTAATAACCACGTAACAAAAAAGTTAGAACTAGCTATTAAATAAATAATAATTATATAATATAACTAAGTAAAAAAACGAATTATTTTTAAGTTTTTTATTATTAAAGCTTAATATTAATTACACGTAACTAACATTATATTATAAGTAATGTTAATTCTTTCCATCTTTTAATATAATAGGACCTTAGGTAATATTAACGTAGCTTGTTAAATTATGTGCGTCTTATAAAAATTAAAGAATTCTTAATATCGTTACATTTTTTCCTCCTTTTTATTTTTTATCCTTAAAAAGCAATATTACTTGTTGTCATTTATTTGGTTTCGTTTTATTAAAATAACGCTAGATTTAATTAACGTTAAGATTTTCAAAAATAAGCTTTTGTTCTTACAAAAAAGCAATTTTACATAGAATTCTTTTTTAAGCATATAAAAAGGACTTATAATCTATTAACTTATTTTTTAAAGATTAGGCGCCGTTTTGATAAATAAAGCGTTAAGCTTTATCTCGTTTATATTAAAGTCAATCTTACCTTTATTACCGATATTAAAAAAAGTATGGAATTAAACCCGTGTTAATTAACATTTAGCTATATAATGATATCGTTATAAAAGAATAGGCCGCTTTATATTGAAGACTTATTTATCTTTATAAATAATTATATATTGATTAACGATAGATTTTATCTTAATTTTATAATTGATAAGCTCAATTTTATCACTTTTTATAACACCTTTTTGATCGTTTTATTTTATTACTTCTTTTAATAAAAAAGCCCTTTAACGTTATGATTAATAAAAAGGAAGAATTTTCTTAGCTTATAATCTAATAGAAAAGGGGTTATATAAAATATTTACAAAAAAACTTATTAATCGATATATGTAAGAAACCCGTTAAAAAAAGTGTTCAAATTAAACTAAATAGCTTATATTAACAGTTTTTACAAATTAATTAGAATTAAAAATTCAGTTTACGTAAAAATAAACTCATATTTATAAAACCTAGTTCAATTTTATTATAAAGTTATAATTATTATTAAACCTCTTATATAAGAGCAATATTTTAATTTTGTTTTACGTTAAAAGATTATATCATAATTAACCGCTTTAACCGCGAAATAAAACCGGCAATAATTATTACAATATATGAATATATTTTTCAAGTTATTATCGGCCGAAATATATTTAAGGCGTTATGTTACGAACCAACAAATATCATGGCCTATCGGAGGGCCAGAGGGAGTACACCAAGAACCAATATAATCAGAAGCCAGGAACGGAACAATAGGTATTATAAATTACATAACAAAGGTCACGTGACGGATCACTGGATCACGAAGTGAGCCTGGGAGGATCACTAGATCAGGGAGTGAGCCAGTGAGCATCACTCTGGGACAAGGTGATCCTACTCCATCAGTGAGGGAGAAATTG